CACTGCATGGCCAGCTCCTGCGAACTCATCACATCTGCGTCTGCAGTTGTGGCTCATTAAAACACTGTTTCAGCTCCTTTCTATTTCCATTCCCGTTGCCAAAGACTATATATTGTCTGCTCAGCGAGCATTTGCATTACAACCGACCCCTCCCGTCCCGTTCCGTCGCGTCCCCTGGTTTTTGGTCTGCTGTCCGGACATACACCACAGAGCATTCCGATGCTTGCTTCATTTACCACATTGCCTCATGCCTCATGCCGCATGCAAGAGGATTTCATCAATCCGCCTTCCTTCTGCTGCCATTTGCCTGCCACTTACTCCTTTCTGTGCATACTGAGCACTTTGAGTTGCCATTTTGTGGATATGTCGATTTATTATTTTTTATTGTTGTTACGTTTTACGACTTTCCTCCTTTGCTCACGGCCCTCCGCTGCCGACGGGGCAGATCTGCTGATATTTCGAGAAGTTTACGGTTGTTCCTCATCTTTTTTGGTAGCCAGGCTTTATCCAGCTGCATAGCGCACGAAATTTTATCAAAATATCTTACCAGCATCTCGCTTGTGCTCCATTCTTTATTGCACAAGTTAATTTTACTACACGATGTCAAAGTGCTCCACACGGAGAAAGACTCCTCCCTGGGTTTATTAGCAGCTGCAAAATGAATGCAGTTTATCTGCAAAATATTTGAGTGAATTTCGGTTGTAAATAAAGAAATAAGAATCCTGAGGACAAATCTTTACTTTATTAAACACACATATCGAGTATTATTTAAAATGTAAAGAAGCGAAAATATAAATTTAATTATTTTGTAAATAAAAATATGAAATACCCGAAAGTACGTGCGTATGTATTTCCTAATAACCTATTGAAAATAAAAATCAAATTAAGAAGTTTCATCAATACTTTAATTTTGTGTAACCCCTTAAGTTTATAATAGATGCACTTTTAAAGCGATAAATACAGCTTTGCTCTAAATTTTTTGTATGCCTTTAGCTAAAATAACACTTTAGTATCCATTTTAAAACTAAAAAACTTAAAAAAATATCTACTTGGTTTAAAAAAAGAGCCTATCTTAATTTTGTGTAAATAAGACATCTTTGCGATAAATAACGCGTATCTATATTTAAAATAAAATTTTAAAACTCCACAACATTATTAATTTTACCTTTAAATCTAATGTAATCTTTTTAATATAAATATCAAAAAACATTTATTATAACATTCAATGTTAAAGATTGATAAACTAATGTCTTTATAACCACATATACTTGTTGTAAATCCAAAATCTATTACTCAATAAACTATGTTTTTCATCAAAGACAAGTTTTTAACATAAAAGTTAATTTGGAAAAAAAGGATAATGAGAGAAAGTTCAATAGTTACACTACATAATTTTTGTTCAAATTTGTCACTTCCTTTTATTGAAAATATTTTATTTTTAAAGGGGGTTATAAAAAAATTTGTTTGATTTTTTATTAAGCAACCAAAAAAATAATGCCATAATTTTCACAAGCCATATTTGCTACTCATATAAAAAAGGTGTAGAAAGCTTAGTAGGAAGTAAAAGTCTTCTGCACAGATGCAACTGTGAGAGCGTCGAGATAAATGCAGGAAATTGTTGAACGGAAGACGGCTGCTGGCGAACGAAAGCGTTGCCGAGCGAGATGCCTTGGCCATGTAACGCCTGCCAATTGGTACAAAGAACTATATACACGATATATAAAACCTCCTCCAGAAACAGTGCCCGTTGAGCAGCTGCAGCAGGAGCAGCCAGCAACAAACTCATAAAAAGGCGCAGAAAAACGAGCAAGAAAACTTTGCTAACGACTTAAACGCTGGCAAAGGAGATGGGGAGCCGACGTCCTCGTGGAGGACTCGGTGCTCGGCGATTGCCGAGTGTAAGGTTAGCTGCAGTTTGGACAGTAATAAAAGTAATAACAGCTCCAACACCAACACCAACACAAGTGCAGCCTGTGCACATGCAGTGGCCCATGTACATGGGGTATATACATATAGATATGCCCCACCGAGCTTGGATTTGTGTGCCCACTTCTCCTCTCCTGCCACATGGCCCTGCGCAGAGTCGCTTTATGCGCGTTAATGGCATCGTTTACTGGCTAACTGTACATGCATATAGACGTGCATCTAGCCGAGCAGATCTACATACATACACATATATATATATTTGTATATATACATATATAAGTGTATATGGAAGTACATGTTTCCGAAGGGGAGTGGCGGTGCAACAGCGACAGCTGCAGCTTTTCGTGCTAAGTGGGCGTTACCAACGCTTCCCGAACGTTTTATATAAATATTGTGTAATGTGTGTATTATTTCGGATTGCGCTTAAAGTGGCTAAAATGTTCGGTGATTAAATAAATGCAGGATTCAGCTTGACGTGCATGTTCCGTCCGGCTTTTACCGGAATTCGATGTAATGTGTTGTAGTTGTCAATTTAATGGACCTTTTCAATTCCATTTTTGTAAACGTATCGTTTTAACTCGAATATGTCATCATGTCGTTTGCCTCCATTACCTTACATTAAATGGACTTCATTAATTTCTAAATGGTTCAATTACTGTATGTTATCTAGAAGTTGAAGTTAATTGGGTAATTGTTGTCGTTCTCTATTTTATGTCGTTTTTATTCCCATTCTTATTATAAACCTTGTTATACATTAATGGAAACACTTTATAAAAAGTGTTTATTGAATACCAAAACCGTTTTTATACCCTTGTTTCAACTAGATCTTACCATTTTCCCCACCTGCTGACTAAAATGATGCAAGTTTAAATAAATTTACTTTTACTCTCTAAGAAAACGAAATCAATAATCTTTTACCTGGCTTGGTTTTAGTTAGGTTATACTTTATGAAAACTTGTTATTTACAGAATTAAATATTTTATTTTGCAAAAAAAAAAACAAAAAAATTGTAACTCGTTTGTAGTTATATTACAATAATTTAAAATGCCAACCGATTTATGTAACCGCAATTTTTTACATAACTTAAAAACGTCAATATTTAAATTGAGTACCAGAAAAATAATAAATTTGCACTGCAAAGTATGTTTAAATTTAAAGATTAAATTTAAAATGTAACTTACTAAAATTTCAGTGCTGTTTGGGAGTAGTAGTTCACATTGTTGTTTTACTGCCATTGTAGAGGGTATTATAATTGTTTAAAACGAATTAAAACTAGATTATTATATCTCTCTCGCTCAAGCCAATCGTGCTGCCCAGTTGGCCATAAAGCACTGGCGCTGGCAATTTAATATGCAGAGCAAAGCGAATAGGGCTAGTAAAATTGTTGGGGTGTTATTGTCATGGTCATGCTGCGGTTGCGGCAGCAATAAATCAATTTATTAGATTTATTTGCGTTCAATAAAATAATTTGCAAGCATAAAATGCTGGCAAAACAGCGGCCAAACAATGGTCAACCCACTAATGGCTTAATTACTAAATTAAAAAGGCGCAGACAGTGCGGCAAATGTTCGTGCAAGGCGACGAGATGAATGAGCATGTGGGCAATGCTCAGGTAAAAGTTGCATGGAAAAAAAAAACAGCAGCAAGTTGTAACCACAACAGGAAACAAAACGTGTTTTGAGCCAAGTTCGCACACGCAAAGTTAGTTCGCCAATGCAAATCCTGCACCACAACCACCGCCCTGCAACAGCACTTTTGTTGCATGCAACAGCAGAGAGCCATAATAAAACGAGCCAATGGATATGAAGCTCCGCCTACAACGAAACTACCGACAACGATGACGACGACGAGTTGCTGTTGTTGCTCTTGCTTCTGTTGTTCTGTTGTTGTTGTTGTTGTTGTTGTATTTGTTGTTGCTGCTGCTGTGCGGTTGCTGTTTGTGTGTAGGTAAAAACAAGAAAAACGAAAAAATGGCTGGCGATACGAAGAGCATAATGGCATAAGCTCGGCGAGTAGTAGAGAGAGAGATGCCAAGTGACACCAGCGGGCACGTTGATAATACGAAAGCGGAAAGCTTTATGACTTAATTCACTCACACAGAGTCAACTTTTCATTTTTTTGTATTGGCAAGTACATTTCGATAATTAATCCCAACATTTTAGTGTGCTATAGCAATAAAAACCACTTGTTTAGCAATGGTTTCAAAAAAATATATATCAAATACATAATATGAAAAAATATTAACTGGGAACGATTTACTGGAAATTAAGCAATTAATCACAACTTTTTTCATATATATTTATTATTAAATATAATATTATTAATAATGTAATTTTTCAATTTTCAACAATAATTTAATATTTTAATTATGCAAGGGCGGACGCAGTAAAAAATTTTAGGGGGGTTCGATGGAAAATTTTTTGTTCAGGGGTCCGATCAATTTTTTTTTAGTTTATATGGTGGAAAGACTGTGTGCAGTAAGGAGACTCCCCGAACACCCCATTGCGTCTGCCCAAATATGAGAATAGCTATAAACATTCCCTTACAATTTGTTATTATTACAATTAGATATTTATATATATAACATGTAAATTATTGGGGAATATCTAATTTCTCAGATATATAACAAATTGAATATTACAGGTTTTATCTTTTGAGATGGGCATGATCCAAAAATGAAGCACAAACATTTTGCTTGGTCTCGCTTAGTTAAAATTTGTGCTTATGCTACTGGTTTTCACAGAAATCGTAATTTGTGTATGCTTGTTCAATATCTATAGGTTCCTCCGTATTGAGTTGCAATTTATGCCGACGTTTTTGCCGCCATGTTTACGTTGCACATAGCTGTCTGCCAGTTTTTTGCATGCAGCACTTATGCAGACTGGCGAAATTCAAGAAAGAGTGGCTCCATATTTATGGGGGCTACTCATGTCGAATCGTTTGTTTATGTGGAAAAGATTTGTCAATAAAGATTACAGGGAACAAAAATTGCGGAGATCGATTGCAGATCATTGGAAGCCGAGATCATGGGAACCAAAAACTAATGACTTCTTTGTTTGCCTTTCTATTTTTAGGCCAAGACGTTTTCCTAGACTATTGCCAAAAGCTATTAGAGAAATTCCGCTATCCTTGGGAACTGATGCCGCTCATGTATGTGATATTGAAGGATGCAGACGCCAATATTGAAGAGGCTTCCCGGCGAATCGAAGAGGGTAAGTCAACGAGCCATTGAAGAACACCCCACCATATTGTCCTCGAACTCTCTGAAAATTACTATTGAGTAATCGATACCCAATCTCAATCTGATCTAAACCAGGCCAATACGTTGTGAATGAGTACTCCCGTCAACATAATTTGAATATCTATGACGGGGGTGAGCTACGCAACACAACGCGGCAATGTGGATGATAATTTTTCATTAACTAGAGTAACGATAATTACTTGCCCTGATATTTATTGTTCAGCATCACACGTTAGCTTAATGCTTTGGTGAAATCGCGCGAATTTAACTTTCCCAAACTAAAGTTGAGTAAATTAGCGTTTTAAGAAGCGAAACCTCTGTACATATATCGAATTTATCGGTAAGCTAAAGCGCAACGTCGGTTATCTTCAATCAACAAGCCAAATATGTCGATGTCTGACCGGCGGTCCTCTTGAGTCCCTTCTCTTCAATCAACATTACCCTATGCTGAGATGTCGTGCCGGCAATCAACAATCAACATTCTCTTCTCTTCAATCAACAAAACCCCAATGGACTTAATCAACTTGCAACAAAACCCTTGCCGCCAACGTATCAAAAATAATCAAAGCAAAATATTTATTAAAAGTTTCTAAACATTTTCGAAAAAATCAATGCCAAATCAACGATCAACATTTCAACACGTCCGCATCACAAATCTGCACATCGGTTGTATAGCTTTAGTTTAACCTTATTTATGTTAAGACTTGCTTTAAAACTTAATTAGGCTAATTTTTGGGTTTTGGGTGCGATTTTCGTTGGACCACAGAGTCCAACTTAAGCCATTCAGCGCTTAACATCAGTCAATCATTTTATTTTGCAATTTTTTAGTACTTAACTGAATTTAAGTACAAAGTGATGTTTTTTTTATCATCGACACCCATTGAGTAAAATTGGCTTCGAGAAGAACACTATAATATAACATAGTCTCTTTCAAGTAGGCTTACAGGCTAATCTCAAGTTTCTTCTCTACGTGTGAGTTCGTATCTTAAAGAGGTTCATATAGCCCTTGAAATAATGTATGCATATTTCCTGGGGGTCCTGGTATCAACACTGTTGTGAGATGATGCACAAAGTTAATACATTTAAGTTAACTCTATCGATGTCTTGCGAAACTCTAATTGTAATATTTAAAAACACGTACAATTCTCAATGACATTGTGAAATATTGTTACCAACTTAAGTCAGATTTAGCCCAACGGAATATTATAAAAAGGACAGACCTGAATTGTCAAAAATAAACTATTTTCCTCAAAACAAAATTAATGTCGCTAATGTCGATAATGAAATGGAAAACCAAAATCCCCGGAAAACGGAATTGCCTCACTTTATTGGAGGTATCAGCTGTTGTTTATTTTGTGGATGACATTAAAAATTGTAACGATTGCTTTTCAAGTTGTTGCCATTTCACGAATCCATTACCATTGCACGAGCGAGCCTCATCAGATGAACTTTCTGGAGGCACTCGAAGTTCGGAGTTGGGAGCTGGAAGCTTGAAGCTGGGAGTTAGTTGTGTCGCCACTGCTGCTGGGATCGTAAATGGATCATTAAACCGAAAAATGCATGCACAGAATTTACGACATCGCCAACACCGTTGCCCGAAGGCCAGCACTTAAAAAAATACTTCAAGCAACCTTTTTTCCCGTATAATATAAATATACACCTTTTTCATAATTTTAAAGCAATGTTGTTGCCTATAAATCTAAGTGGTTAAGAACTAATGTCATACAGTTTTTTTCTTTTTGAGAAGTCATTTTATAAATCTTTCGGTCCCAATTTTTAAAGTACTCTGGGTTATATTTTGAAACGCTAAAATCAAATAAAAAGAAACATTTTTGCAAGATAGTGGGAAAATATTTGTGTTGTAAGCCAGAAATTTTAAGCAACTGAATTATCTATATTTAGTAAGGACCTATGTATGCTGTGTTCAAGGGGCTTCTAGTAAAAGATTTTTTTTAGTGTGTGATTGTGATTTCCAGCATCGGTTTTAGTTCTTTCAGCTGGGGATAAACGGCTCTAGTCCGGCACCAGGTAGCTGAAACACTCCGGCCGTAACAGCTCAGCATCGCTTCTCGACACTAAACACGTCACGATGAAATTTCAGGAATCGCCGGCAGATGGGAAGGGGAATCCCCGGGTTCCTGTGGAAAGGCAATGGCGACGTGTAAATGTGGGCACCATAAAGCTTAAAAGTGTTTATGGTTGAATTGTGCGCGAAGACATGTGAAGGGATTTTATATCAAGGAATTGGGGTTTTTATTGAAATATTCAACGTCCTATTTGTTTTATGCAAGACAGAATCGAATGGAAACCATTATATTATTTTTGCAATTTATAGTGGCGAGGGAACTACATTATTACGAACTAAAACATTTTTATTTAATATTAGGAAGGTATGTATATTCATTTATTCGAATAAAAGAGATTTTATTTGCAGAGCCTTTAAAAAAGGGTTGAGAAATTTTTTAGTAAAAATTATGAAAGTATCATTGTTTTGTGGTCAAGCGAACTAATAGTTCTGAAACCCCAAAGGGCTTGCCGACGAATAACTGCTGATTTACACAAACCTTAAAAACTTAAAACCAATGTATTTAATTTTAAAAGCTTTAGTTATTTAAGCGGGTTTATTAAGATATTTTATATACTTACTAAATTTTGATTCCTTGTGATATATTTTTAAGTTTTATATGAAAGTTTTTATAAACTATTTATGATAATGTAAAATGTTGAATTTTGCAAAAAAGAGTTTCTGTGTATTTATACCTAACGATTATCTACTTAATAATGTTAAACAAAATGTTCATACAGTTAAATGAACAAAATTCTTAAGTTACAGTATAATAGAATCAGATTTCACAATTATTTTAAGCTGTTTAAGAGTTGTATTTTTATAGTTTGTTTTTAGGAAAAAGTAAGATATAAAAGAGATTTTTTACAAGAATAATCACCAAGAAAAGTCATGAGTCAGTGCATATAGTAAACTCCTAGGCATCTAACCCAGTCCTTCCACCCGATTTAATGACACATTCCCATATTCTTGCGTTCTGTCATATTTTAGCGCCGCCTTTCTTTGTTTTCCCATAAAAAATAGACTCGTTGTTATACCATTTTGTACGGGGCGCCATAACGAGCTGCGAGCCGTATCATCATCATCGTCATCGTGGTCCTCGCTTGAACTCAGCCCGGCTCAGCGAGTCTAGTACAAATTCCTCGCCACTTTCATTCCAAACATTTACCAATGCTTATTAAAAACTATAGGAAAGTGCAGACCCAGCGGCAGCAGGAAGCAAAAATTTCCAACTTTACGACTTCATATTGTGGGTGGATCGTAAAATATTTGTGCAGCGTCAACTTGGACTCAACTTCCCAACTGCTCCTCGTTCCCATGAAGTTTCGCTACTGTCATTTTTAGTGCCCGCCGACTTACAAGCTGCCACTTGTGCCAGACATCTGATCCACATGCATAGCCTCCTATAGACAATCACGATTTATCACGGCCACGCTCCTGCTGGCTAAATAATAAGCAGCCAGTTTGTCATAAAGGCTTCCGGCGTAATCGTGCTGGACATAGTTACCCTTAAATCGCCCGAGCCTGGGTCACTTTTATTCCTCTGCCGCCAAGTCAATTCAACCGTGAACTCATTGTCGAGGTTTTGTGGCCTGCAAAAGCTAAGATTAAAGACTAAAGACCACGGAAAAGGGAGAGCCAAACTTATGTTTAAGATATCTTTTCCATTTAACTAGGTCGTACATTTCAAGTATTTTATTCAATTAGAAAACTCTACTTAAGATGCTAGTATACACACACTGAGACTTTAATATATTGTATAATATTCAAAAGAATTTACAAGTACGAGAGAGTCACCATGCATTAAATTATGGATTGTAAGCAAATCATCTATTTACAAACTAAATAAGTCTCTAAAAGATCAAGAAATAAAATGGTAATTTTAAGAACAGAGGTGTATTATCAAGTTAAAAAATATAAAGAAGTCCTGCTTTATGCGAAGAAGTTAGTTTAGTTAATAAGTTAACTTATAGAGGACATGTATAGTTGGTTTTAAACTGTATTGCATCCTTAGTTTCAGAAGTTTTAAGTTGTTGGGATCTGTAGAGCGATCCATTTATTTTAAAGTTGAGTACATCCCAACGATTTTTTCCCATTGCTTAAACAGATGTGGTTTCCCCGCTCTAAAGGCAATTTGCGAAATAATTGTTAAAATCTTAAGCTCCTTTTCAGTTGGGTTATTTCAATGCAGCCAGTATTGTTAGGAAATTCCAATTCAGTGGGATGGGAGGACCTCCCTCCTTGGCTCAACCTGCTCGAAAACACATTCCTCTAATTAACCCAACACCAAGACTCAGTTTATGGACTTACCCAATGAGAGTTAGCTATATATTAACAAGTACTAGAAAGCCAAGGAGGTGGGCAGCTGGACTGGTTACCTTCCGCCTCTCCCAACCTTGGGTCACAACTTTTTTACGACTTTTTATTATTTCGTCAAATCGCACAACGGTCGAGCGGCATTAGTTTCGACTGGGTTGGGTCTGCTTGCATCGACTGTACCTTAGACTCGAATCACCCCATTCCCGCCCCATCCTGACCCCCAGTCCATCCATCCATCCATCCTTCCCTCCGATAGCCGTGCGTCTCCCGAGGAGGCGAACTGGCCGAGAATGGGCTCCAAAGGGGGCACGCTCATGCGTAATTCTCTCTCGTATGCTCTGGCCCTGTTTAATGCATTCTGCAGTTGGCGGAAGAAAAAATCCCATTAAAATTAAGTAAAATTGCAGCAGCAGCAGCAGCAGCAGCAGCGTAATCGTAAAAACTTGGCATTTTGATGTTGCAGCAAGCAGTAAAATTTTGAAAAGTTTTTGCCACGCAGATAAGGCGGGGAGTCAGCGGAAGACAAAGGCTCTTGCCAGCCGAGGCTCCAACTGGGACTGGAATCAGGATGTGGATGTGCCAGTGCATGTGGATGTGGATGTGCCAGTAGATCTGTGGGCGTGGCACTCATGTGGCGCAGGGGCAAAAGGGGGCAATGGGGAAGGGTTTATTGTGCGAGCACCGTGCGAAGGTTGCACATAAAGTGCATTCTGGGGCCATAGGTGGGCCAGCTCGGAGTTTGAGGAAGGGTCAGGGGCTGGGGCAGGGGCAGGTCTCCCACTTCCTCGTGTGCCTTCCAAAATGGCGCACATCTTGGCCGGGTGGCATAGACATTAAGTGCGGCCGTAGTTAATGTTATGGCCGCCAGCCATAGCTTTAAGCTGTTCTACTATATTTTCCATATAAAGAGTGTAAAGAGCGTACCGAAAAACATTCATCCGTATTTTCTAGTATAATTAAAAAAAAAAAAACAAAAGTTATTTAATATTGTGTAATTAGTTAAGCAAGAATAGAAAAGTATTTTTATTAATAGCTAATAAGACTGTTTTTCCTGTATATGTTCCTCAGAAGTTTATCTTTTAAAAAATTATATATAATTTTTATTTGATGTACCAAATCATCGCACACTCGCTGAAAAGAACTCGCATCTTAAATGTGTATCCTTCAAGGAAACAATCAGGGTGAACCATTCAATATTTCCGTTTAAATCATGTATATCACTTTATTTTGGAGTCAGAACTTTTTACCGACCCATTGTAATCGCTTAACCATTGTTAATCCGCAGCTCGCGTGGAAATAAACCGCACTGTAGCGCAGATCTACTACAACTACTACACCCCGATGGCCTTGGTGAACGGGGCGCCAATGTACCTGACCTACCCGAGCATCGAGCAGGGTCGCTATGGAGCGCACTTCACCCACTTGCCGCTCACCCAGATCTGTCCGCCGACGCCGGAGCCGCTGGCCCTCAGCCGTTCGCCGAGCAGTCCGAGCGGACCCTCGACGGCCCACCACCAGAAGCACTCGCGGCCGGGCAGCAGCAACGGCACCGTGCACTCGGCCGCCTCGCCCACGATGGTCACCACGATGGCCACCACCTCCTCCACGCCCACGCCCACCCTCAGCCGCCGGCAGCGGTCGCGCTCGCCCACGCCGCCCACGCCCACCACGCCCCCGCCGGCGCACAGCAGCAGCAACGGAGCGTACCACCACGGCCACCACCTGGTCAGCTCCACGGCCGCCACGTAGCAGTACCGCAACGTTGCCGCCGCCGTGGCAGCAGCAGCAGCGGCAGCTGTCCTCTTTGTGTGAGTATTGCATTTAGGCCTACAAGAGTTAATTTGAGTCTAGAGAGAACTCTAATCGTTTAAACAAATTGATAAAATTGATTGATTCTGCCAATCGTTTTTTGTCCTTTCCCTATTTGACTCAGATGTTCTGAGTCCTTTCTATTGACTTTTATTGTGAATGCAATATCACGATTTTTGTTGGTTTTATATTAATTATAGTATGTTCTATTTTTCTGGTTTGATTAATGTAATTTTTTAAGACTACAAAAAAAATCTTAGATTTGTTCAAAAAAGAATAGTTTTTTACTGAAATTGCTAAGGATTGTATAATACGAGGCTTTTGTTGTTTTCTACAAAATTGTCTTAAAGGAAAGGAAACGGTTGTCGGCGATATAATGGTTAACAATTCCAAAAGTCATAAACCTTTATTATTTTAATTTGGCAGAAAAGCATTGTTCACCCAATTTTAAGTAAATCATTATAGTATAAATTTCGCTTATTACAAGCTGAGTGTATAGGTTCTGACTCTAAGAAATCAAACTTGAGTTTTAAGCCACGGAAATGCCTTATTCAGAGCTTATCTAAATGTTGTTACAATCTTTTTAAAATGTTTTTTAAGTTGCACCGAAAGTGACAATATGGTTTCTCGTGAAATAAAATAATGTAAGGATTATGACATCCTTTAAATGCAAAGTAAAAATATGTATCAATGAAAGTTTAAAAGACGTGACCCATTTCAAAAACCGAACTCAAAGTAAGACCCAGTCATATGCAGATATTTGCTTAAATAATCCTGCTATTTGGAACACAGAAACGTAGATAATCTAAGTAACACCCAAAGCTGAACCCCAACCTAGGCGTAAGTTCCACTACGGAAATAGTTGGAGGCAGTGCCCTGTTTTTGCTCCTGCATTCGCAGCTCATTTCGCATGCCGGCCCAGGCGCGTTGCCTTTAATCAAATCAATTTCGCAGCATAGTTTTATGTTCACAATTTGGGTTGGCTGGCTCATTCCGGACTCGGTCTTGGTCCTGGACCAAGGATCCCTTCTTTTTGTAGTTTTCGCCTGAGGGAAGGGGTTGCGGAAGAGGAGAGAAGTGGGTCTGTAGCTCTTCTGTTGGTTGCACTTCCGTACTGCGCACGAAAGTATGCAATGGCTTTTTCATCATTTGTCCTGATGACTCTGCAACGTGGGCAACAAAAGCTGCCTCGATCCTGGCTCCAGATGAAAAACAATTCCTCTTGGCCCGACACACTTCGCCCCTCCCCGTCCCGCCCCGCCCCCTTTTCGCCCTCCGCCCGCCGCCCGACAATTGAAGCATTCTGGCGTTTTCTTGGCGCTGCCAGTGCAGTTGCTTAATTCGGAGAGGCAAGTGTCGAATTTCCATGCTGCAGCATTGGCATTTTTGTTTATATTTCCATCGGGACGAGCAAGACGAGCTGGTGTGTTTTGTCCCAGCGTTTGAGCATTTTGTAGCCTTTTGTTTTGCTAAGCGATTTGCTTTAATTAAAAACTCAAGTGGCGCCAACAGCGGCAAGGGCTTCTCCAGTTGCCCCTCCTCGTAAATGGGGGATTTGGTCTGCTTCCAAGGGGATGGGCATCAGGCATCGGGCATCGGAACATCAAAACTTACGCTTCGCACATTCTATTTGGTTTTTTTGCTCTTGTTTTGGGGTTCCTATTTTACGATTTTCCCCGCCAGACCGCGGAGACGACACTTCAGAATGCATATTTCAATGTTTTGGTCTCGTCCAAGGTAATAAAATATTCGCATTGTGGAATTATGAAGGACCAGCGAATTGGCGTCCAAATCTTGTCTAGAAACTGTGCTGCGCTCCAGGCCCTTCGATTGTTTTGCCCCCATTAAAAGCCCCAACTCCAAAAGAGCAGAACTCAACTGAACTGAACTCCTGTCACCTCTTACCGCACTCGTGTGGCAAACTCCTGCATCAAAGGGACGCATCGCAGTGCTCTGTTCTGTTCTGTTTTTATGGGTCTGCATCGTAAAACCGAAACTGAATCGCACGATAGCTGCGTGAAAATATTTTTTCTGAGGACGCATCTGTTGGCAAACATTTGTGCCCTCTTCTAAGCCTAGAACTTCTTCGTCGGTCTGCAATTAAATGTTCCCTTTCGAGAGGACGACACTACAAAGTCAGGCGGTTGGATCTCGTAAAACTATCGCAAAGTTCATTTAACTCGCTGACGGGGATCTGCCAAATCAAACTTATTAAAAAGTGTCGGTCGAAAATAAAAATAAGAGGAGCAAAGGAAGCAAACATCGGCAGCAACAAACAATTATTCCGGGCAAAACTCAAAACCATAAAAGCGGGCAAACAATACCGAAAACTTTTACGAGCCTTGGGGAGATCCTGCGAGCAGCAGTTCCTGAAACCATTTCATTTCGCTAAGAAACAAACGCACACAAGCAGCAAATATCCTTTCGAATGGCACTTCAATTCCGTTTGCAGCTCGCTTTTGTTGCCGTGGCCAAAATGGCAATAAATGCATAAGTTTCCATTTTACGATATTTTGTTTCCATTTGCTGCCGCGCATTTTCCTAGACAATCCTCCTCACCTTTTTGTCGGCAAAAAAAAAAACAAAAAAAAAAAACACTGGGAAAATATTTAACGCCCATCGTTTTCTTCTTTTGGTCTAATTATATTCGTCAGCTAATTTGTTTGAGCACATTTAAGGTGTATATGTACACGCCGTAAATTGACTGATGCTTTCGCACATCAAAAGTGTCGGCCGAAGAGCCAGAGGTATAAAAATACTACGGGCCAAGTTAAACGAACAAGGCATCACAAACATCAAAGTGACATAAACATAGGAAAAAAAATATTTAAGCATCGTCATACAAATCTTAAGGACTGGTCTAAATTTAAACTAAAAACAAATAAATTATTCCCTATTATTTATCATGCTTCTTAGTAAGTTTAGGCAACTTGGCAATAATATAGAAGAATTAGTGGACATATAAAAAAAGTTTGAAATATATATTTGAACTTATCACATTTTAAACCAGTGTAAATAATTTTAAATAATTTTTGTTAGCAACATTTTTGCAAATACATTATTCTTCTTTAATCTAGCTACATCTTTTTTATTTAACAAAAAAAAATAAGACAAACAATTTTAAATGTTTAATGCTACTGACTTCCGCTTGATTTACAGAAGCAGCTTCTTTGTAGCCTACTCAGAGATTTCCACTCCATTATGCATAAACATTCGAGAAACATACAATATATTTTGAATATTATTGCTGCGATACATTTCCGCCGATTTCTAATTTCCGCTGAGTTGCCATTAAAAAGAGTGAATCGGTCCGCTTTTAATGCTCCTCGGTCATCAGCGTCGCCTGCGAGCGGCCTGATCTTGATACCCGGGGGCCGCCATAATAAATGCAATGCTTGCCATAAAAATAAAACACAACAAAATAAAGGAATAATAACAAAAATGTTATAGTTTTCAGCGGGCGCGGTTGGAGAGGCTTCGGTTTCAGCTTACGCTGCTCGAATTTCGCCCTGACATTTCGCTCTCGTTTGTGCCCCATTTGGACAGCTCCTCCTCCACTCCCAGACACTTTCAATCCGCCGGTCTGAGCCCGGGACCGGGGACCGACCGCTCGCACATTCATTTGTTTTTCGGTGTTCGTGTTTATTGTTCTTCGACGTCTTGCGTGCTGAGCGCCCTTCAGTGTTTATGGTGCCGCGTTACGCTTCCTCTTCTTTTTCGGTTTTTAGTGGACACGCATTATTAAAAAATAAACAATAATGTATGGTGTATACAAAACCAGAAACCAACGCAAACCAATCCGAAACGATCTGAGCCGCAGTCAGCTCAACCCAAGGGCCTCAAGAATCATTTTCAGCTACTCCTTTTCAGTGGAACTTTTTCGCTTCAATCGTAAAAAGTGGACTCAAACTGCAAGGGCAAATAAAAAATACATAAAGCCGAGAAACTCCAAATAACAATGAATTGCCAGTGCTCTACGGAAAAGGATAAATTTCTTTTAAATAAAGGCAAACATTATAAATGCTTTAAAGGAACATAAATATTGTAAGCAAAAAGTTCCAGATATAAAAGCAATTTGAATAACTTATTGTTGCAGCTTTGAACAATTTGAAATCCTCTTTTGCTTCTTTACGATAACAATATATATTCTAGTTCAATTTTTCATTCTTCTCAAAGGCACACAGAAAATAGTGGGGGAGAAGTGGCTTTCGGTGTTGTCTTGAGTACAAATGACTATGACAATTAGAAATCAGGCAAAACGAATGGAGATTCGAGATTCAGCGCCTGCCGCATTATCTTAAAACGCGTCGTAAAAATCACATTTCGCATTATAAAAATCAAGCTCTCGGGTCGGAGCCCAGCTGCTTCCCATATTGTGCGGACCTGGCTGCCGACCCATTCCATCCCATCTGATCCATTCCATTCCTGTCCATCCCAGCCACTTGGTCTGGTCGTGGGCAACGGTGGCTATAAAATTTGCTTTTACGAGCGCCAGAGCGCAGCTCATTGCCTAAGAGTTCGAGGACACGGACTGGGCCGCTGGAGCCCAGGTAAGCCGGCCCAGGATACCTCGGCCCGGTGTCGTCCTCGTCTTCGATGCCTTTGACTGACTGTCAGACATTACAATGATTTTAATGGATTTTATGGCCGAGACAGAGCACCCATATGGGCGCGCTGGGATCGTAGACATTAAACATTTTTTACGCAGCACTCGCGCTTAAGCGTATTGGCAATGTATTGTAGAATTTCTATCTAATTAACAAGTCGACAGAATCCAAGAAACCAAACAAGTATTTTGCCTATCTAATATTTCTACACCTTCTTCTTTGTCTCTTCGCAGCGATAATTGAGTATAACCAACCTCTTGAATGGAAAGCAGCATTGCACTGGATGAACCCAACTGAGCAAGCGTGTCGGAAAGTTGCAGCTTCCGCAGAATGTTATTTAATATCTAACCAGACTTTGACATAATTCCAACAAAAAGTAAAAGCATAGAACATCTATATTATGAAATTGTAATCCCCAGAAACCCTTTTCAAATTGATCTCAAAAACATAACTTAAAATAAAAATACATAATTCATACAAATTGTGGACTAGGCTATCTGATGTGTTATTAAATATGAACGTGTCGGTAGCAACATTGTGTGTACACTTTGAAAACTTTTTCTGCAAGATAATAATCAAGAAACTAATATCGATTAGCACAAAATTAAAACTTCTTTAAACTTACAATAGCCACAATTCTATACTTGAAAGTTCTAGTCGTAAGCACGAGCACTTTACCACGAAATCATCGCTGTACAGCAAGCGATTAAAGAAACGAATATCAGACTATTAGATCGCTTTATTACAAATTTGTTCTATTTACATAAAAAAAACGTGTATTTGATATGAGATTATCAGCTTGAAACATAAAAACTTTATTTAACTTCTTATAGGAATACATTACATTTTTCTTGGGCTGTGCGCTGGCATGTAAAGAGAGCATGCGGTTTATTATGACTTCGTGAGAATGATCTGTCTGATCTGAAAGTAGTGTAGCGTACTTTTCCAAATTTGAGAAAATACAGTTTTCCTTTGCACATCAATCGTTTCTTTTGTACAGTTTGACAAAAACCAAATATGTTATGCTATTCAGATCGTAGTGGAATTCGATTGTATCCGCTTAAGTAAAAATCGCGAAATATTAAATTAAGGATATATTAACTTAGTAGAACACATTTCAATTTTAATGGAACTCATTATAAATCACCAAACACTTTAATCGTATTCTAGTTAATTTTAATACAAATGCTTTGAAACAAAGAAATAAAAACATAAAGAAATCTACATCTATCTTGAATAAACATTTCGCTGTATATATAAACAGAACGCAATTTTTTTGACGCGTATGAGTACAAAAGTTTACATCCCAAAGAGTCCCTTTAGGTCATCAATGGTGAGTTTGGAACTCACAGTTGAGCCCGTAAGAACACCATTGGCTAGCTCCAATTTCTTATCCTGCAACGCTTTGATCCGCTGCTCAACAGTATCGACACACATAAACTTGTAAATAATCACGTCTTTCTTTTGTCCAACGCGGTAGATTCGGTCCTGGGCCTGAGCCTCTAACTGGGGATTCCAGTGAAGATCCAAAAGCAGGAGGTGATTGGCACCAATCAGGTTCAAACCCACACCGCCAGCGGTGAGGGAAAGTAAGAGAACTCGCTTCTGATTATTCGGATCGTTAAACTGATTCACAATGTCCTGACGGTTTTTAACTGGAATGGATCCGTTCAGCGACAGTGTCGGTACGCTATCCCTATCCAAATGGTCCCGAAGGATGTCCAACACCGATGTCCACTGCGACACTACTATGGCTTTGTCGTCCGAACTTGATAGAATCGTTTTCTTGAGTATTTCTATAACCTTTATCATTTTTGAAGAGGGGCGACTCAGGTTAAACACGGGATTAGTGCGTTTGAGGAGATTTTTTGATGCCTTAGCGATGCGAGCTTCATCTGCCCCCAGCGGGTGCCCATCATCGCCTCCATCACCTCCTCCGGCACCAAAAGGTCGCGACTCGGTGGATGTGTCGGTAATGGCTAGTTTATTGAGCTGTGCTAGCAAGTCGATTTCCGGCGAATCGCTGTCACTACTGTGGCCTTCCATGTTCTGGGCCTCCTCTCCATCCAGCATCTAAAAAACATCGTATATTGATTTAGTTAAAACAAATCAAAATTGGTATAATAATAAAAAATTATTTAACTAACAAGTTTTGATGGAGGATCCATAAAACCAACCGAATAAAACGTTTGACTTACAATCACAGGTCACATTAATGGCTTACTCTTATTTATGGTACATTTAAAGGTTATATTTTTTTTTTTAATAATATGTTACTTACAGCGTCGATCAGTCCGGGATGGCAGCAAATTTGTCGCAGGCGCAGCAGAAGCACCAAGATATCATGAGACTTGACCTCTCTTTTGCTGCCGGCCATTTTAGAGAACTTCTCATGCATTTTATAATACGCGCCATTAGGGTCTTTGATTTGATTGTATGTCGGCTTGTTGGCATCATTTCTGTAATTAAAATCAGTGTCCTTCTCGGCGCGCTGATGAAGAAACTGGGCGAACAGGGTCCTGGAATAAGTCATAACTGTTTGGTAAACATTCATTTCTTCGGTGCCCAGCGAGATCTCCATCAGGCGCATTTCCTTGTTAGGCAGACTTTTAAGCTTGCCATCCATCTGCAACTGCGCTTTGGTGCGCCTGAGCATGAGAGACTTCATTAGCAGATTGAGGCGGTTCTGACCCCCAGCGCTCTTATTATCAATCCACTTCTTCCACGTGTTTAAGTCGTCGAAGGGAGAGCAGCGAAGGAACTTTAATAGCGCATACACATCCAGCTCCTTGTTTTGGATGGGAGTGCCAGTCAAGGCCCAGCGATATTTGGCTCGCAAGTCACTCACTGCCATCGATGACTGCGACTTGTGGTTGCGCACAACATGCGCCTCATCCAGAATGACTCGCCGCCACTTGACTCCGAACACGGCGCTCAAGTTCTTGTGCTCCCGGGCCACAATTTGGTATGTTGTCACCACAATGTCGTAGGTGCGAAGGTGCTTCCCCTTGGTCTCCCGATTGTTGCCGTGGTGCACGCAAACGGTAAGCTTGTGACGGGACACTTTCGATTCCACCTCGCTTTCCCACTGACGCAGCAAGCTGGCCGGGCAGACTACCAAAGTGCCACCCTTGTGGGCTGCAATAATTAAAATTATAACGAAAAATAAGTGCTTTTCAACCAGTAGAATTGAAAAAATAAAATAATATTTATAAAAGTATCACGATTAAAAATTTAATGAATTTGAATGCAGACCAACTCTACTTATGGCACTTACAGTCTTTCCGGCCCTTAGAATTCCATCCGCCTGTGCTTTTTCGCTTTTTGTTCTTATCATCCTCACTGTCGCTTCCGCTGCTCTGATCCTCGCCCGATTTCCTCTCCTGAAGATTCTTACATGCCAGCACGGAAGATATCATGGTTAGAGTCTTGCCCAAGCCCATATCATCAGCCAGAATTCCTCCGCGTGGTAGTTGTCGTTCGCGCCAGGACATCCAGGCCAAGGCGTGTTTTTGGTGATCCATCAGCGGAACTTTAAGGCCCTTTGGATCCTCCGCCAGAACTTCGGGCCCAGGGCAATCCTTAAGCGACCCATGGAGGTCCTACAAAAAAAGAAAATGAGCTGCTTTGCACTATTCTGAAGGGAATGAATTGGCTAGAAACACAAAATTCAGGTTTCGAATCCTTAATCTTGGCTTGCTCTTGGACAGTCGCCGCACAGTAACTCGTGCCCAGTGACCACCAAATATGAGCAGGCTACTCAGATATCCGTTCTGACTCATCACATTAACAAATAAAGTCGAAAGGGTCGAAAAGTCTTTAGTAGGTTTGAAACCAATTTTACTTACTAGTAAATATCTTTAAAGATTTATTTATGCTAATTTGGGATTAAAACGAACACTTGGGTGTTTTAAGGTTGTAAGGCATTTCAAATCATTACATATTTACATAGCTGATTTGTCAAAAACTATCAAAGACTTCTTCCCAACCGCCTGACTCTTATTTAACTTAAAGTAAACTAAATGAACATACCTTTAAAGACTCCAGAGTCAGAGCCTTTTGGTTGTTGAACGTAGCCATTCCCTGGGTGCCCGTGTAGACAGGTTTGATCTGGTTAACCGCCGCCGACAACTCGTCCCAGTCGGGAGTGTCGATAGATGGTGCCCTGGGTGGATTAAACATTGGCTTGGCTGCTTTGATGGCGGGCATCTTACTGGGCTCCACTTTTAAACGGCTCGCGATTTGCGCATTGTTTTCGACCTCCTTGCGCAGGACATCAATGCGCTTCATTATCTGACTGCCCTTATCGGGCAGCTTGTGTGCCACCTTTTCGAACAGCTTCTCCGCATCGCTTAGCTGAGCACGCTTTTCGGCCAGTTTGCGCATCTCCTCATCGTAGACCTCCTGACTGACGACTCTCTGATCCTCGCTCTTTACCCGCGAGCCTAGTGGACTGCCAGACAAGTTCCCTTGCTTGAGAGCCGCCATAATGGTGGGCTGGCTAAGGTTCTTTGTGGTCTTGACCACTGGAGCTCCAGCGCTGCTTCTTGGCGAGTAGGAGCTGGATGAACGCGGAAATGGATTGACTGATAGGTTTTCTTTGTTGTTGCTGACTTCTTCTTCCGAGCTGGATATCTCGATTGCCGTCTCCTTATTGCTAATAATTAGCACATCGCTGCCACTGGAGTCTTCCGGGGGCTCCAGATCCGCTCCACCGAGGGTCGAGTGAAGAGCCTCTTGAATGTTTTCCGCGAAATGTGTAGTGTAGCGAGGCACAAGTTTTGCACCACCGACTGCCTGGGGCACCTCCTGTCCTTCATCACTGTAGTCGATTTCGCTGTCACCATCGCTAAGATCCTGGGGCCGAACTCCGGTGATGCTCATGCGCGTGCTGGGCGATAAAGCTCGCTGCTCCAGCTCTTCGTCCTCACCCTCGCTATTTGCACCACCGACTGCCTGGGGCACCTCCTGTCCTTCATCACTGTAGTCGATTTCGCTGTCACCATCGCTAAGATCCTGGGGCCGAACTCCGGTGATGCTCATGCGCGTGCTGGGCGATAAAGCTCGCTGCTCCAGCTCTTCGTCCTCATCTTCGCTATCGGACGGTATGCCCAGTGGCCGGAGCTTTCTTTTGGTGTTCTTTGTGGGCACACGAACGCTGTCGTCGTCTGAATCACCAGACTCCTCGGACTCCCCCGACTCCCCTCCCTTTTCTGACTCCACCGAAATCTCACTCTTTTCTGATTCCTCCGACTCCCCACTCTGCTCGTACTCCTCCTCCGTTTCCGTTTCGTCTATGACAACGCCAGCGGCGTTACTATTGCGACTGCTGCGACGCGAGGATTTGCTTGATCGGCCTAAGTCATACGCAAAGTAAACGAATAGACGCATTAGCCACAGAATCATATCCCCACCAGCCCTTACTCACCCGAACTCGTGTTGTTTACCACCTCCTCATCATCACTGTAAAACTGATCACCGTCACTGGACATTTTTATCTAGTTATTTACCAAAAATGCTTGCAAAATCAGCGCCATTTAATTCAGAATGACAGCACGAGCAGTGTTGCCACTAGGGTTTTGTAACTATCGAATCGATTAATTTCAAAATGAATGTCTGGTTATTTGTGTCTATTTGTATTTGTCGAATAAATTTTTGGATTTGAGAACTAAAAACAAATATATATTTTTTCTTCTGTAGCAAAACATTTTTACAACAAACTGTGCTCCATCCTTAACAAAAAAGAACGAAGAGATGATGCTAGTTTTGGATAACACTTCTTATCCACAGTATCTTGGCGCACTTTTTTAAAAACAAATCTTAAATCGTAATTCTAGCTGTGTTTTTAACCTTACCATGCAGAAATAGAATTTCCTACGCCACTAAAATCCGTGGTTCAGATATCCAAACTGCAGAAGAAATAATAATATTTAAAATAATGCTTGCAATGTTATCGTTGTATCGTTATCGATAACGCTCTGCTCTTCCTATTCAGCTGTTTTAAATACTTCACTGCTAGACCAAACTCTTCAGCCCTGAAAAAATACCATCCTATTTCACAATGCGACGCACATTTTCCAACACATGTCTTTGATAAAATTAAAATCACAACTAAAACGCCTTACAAACAAAAATACAGCGTTTGTCGGTTTCCAAACACGGGAGAGCCGCCAAAAAATTTCATTGCAATTAATGGGTCTCGTAACACTAAACCGCTAAAGAAGTGAAGCTGCAGATATACAAACTACGTCGTTTTATTGTTTTTGTTTTTTGAAAAATGGCGCCACATAGTAAGATCCCCACCGAAAATTCGGGGAGCTTATTACACAAATGAATCAATTTTCAGAGTTCCAGAATGCGAGATCGGATTCGCCGCCCTGTTCCAGTTCGGCTGCAATAGCGAACCCTAGTAATTCCCCGTGTAATTTCGGAAACTCGCCGATCTATCCAATGGATCTACCCTCATCGTCGGAGGATAACGAAAGCTGTGAATCATTTAGCGTGCAAAACCAGACATTCGCCCAGTTGATCGACAATTCTGATGAAAATTGCACTCAGCAGCCGCCTAATCAAGACGATTTTGAATTGTCCAAAGGTAGTTGGGTGAATGGGAAAGTCTTATTCTTTACTTTTTCTAGCCTTGATATCCCCAAACAGAATACGCAAATGATGAAGATGCCATTTTCGTCAGCGCAAAACAATATACGGAGAAGAAGGCGGAAATCGATCACCTGGTGAAGAAAATGCTCAGCATGGAGCTACTAAAGCGACAACTGGAAGAAAATGGGTCAAATAACGAGGAACTCATCGATTTAGGTGCGCGCCTGGATAAGCTTAATGTTCGCCTTGAGGCACTGGGCGAATTTCTAGACACGCTGCGCGTGCGGGAGCATCAGCCGGAGAACCAGATTAAGGAGGAACCCGGGCTGGCAGAGCAGCCTCGCTGGTCCAATTTGTATTCCGGGCTAAACCGCTATCGCCACCAAGCCAAACTCTCTTCCGCAGAGTTCTTCCAGCACAAGACCAATATCATCGAAAGCCTTAAGGTAAGGTAACTAAAAGTTTGTTGTAGTGCGATTCCGGACTTCCATTGCGGTGCCTTTATGTATTAAGTATTATATAATTTTAGACGCTTTATGAACCCTCGGAGTCAAGTCACACAGATGATGACTTGGAGAAGCAGCCTGCCCATCTGATGGTTCGCCTCTTAAAACACCAGCAGGCTGGTCTAAAATGGATGCAGTTTCGTGAACGGCAGAGGATTTCCGGCGGAATCCTGGCTGATGACATGGGTCTGGGCAAGACTCTTAGTATGATTGCCCTGGTGCTGGCTTCACAGGAAGCTAAGCAGAAAAAAAGGTTAGACAAGCAGCGAGCCTTAGAATCAAAGTGGACCGAAGAGTTTAATCGCTTGAAGACCAAGAAAATACGAAAATTTCGTATTTTTGATGATGAAGAGGATTCTGCCGCGGAAGAAGAAAAGTACGAGCCTCCAGTAAAGCGCAAATGCCAGGCGCCAGAAGAAATAGTCTACAGTTCAGATGAGGACGATAACGTTCGCTATCCTTCGGCCGGCACATTAGTTGTGTGTCCAATGAGTGTGATGTGCCAGTGGGCCCAGGAAGTGTCTTCCAAAGTTGCACCGAATGCCCTTAAAGTGCTAACTTTTCACGGTGTCAACCGCCGAGAAATTTCGTTAGAGGTATTTAGAAGCTATGATTTAGTTATTACCTCATATCATGTCGTGGTGAGCGAGAGCAAGAGGTTGGGCAATAGTTCCCTGCTGTTTGCAGTACACTGGAGTCGGGTGATCCTCGACGAGGCGCATATTATTAGGAATGTGAAGACCAGTTGCTGTTATTCTGTCTGCCAGCTGCGAGCCCGTTGTCATTGGGCTTTGACGGGGACGCCTGTGCAAAATCTGGCCATCGATGTGTTGGCCCTCTTGCGATTTATGGAAGTACCCAACTTTCAGGACCTGCAGCAGTGGAAAAAGTACCTAAACGAGGGCATGCATGCCCATCGTCGACTGAACTTTATCATCAAACCCCTAATGTTGCGAAGAACTAAGCAACAGCTTCAGGAGTCGGGTGACATGCCTGCGTTGCCCCCAATAAAAATCGAACTTATTTGCGTGCAACTCTCGGATCCCGAAATGGCCGTTTACCAAATTCTGTCGGCAATCTCACAAAAGATTTTCGCCCAGTACCTGCTACAACGCGATAAGGGCAACAGTGATTTAAATTACTATTCGCTAGAAAGCACACCGCAATTCATCAAGGACAGTTTCGACGTCAAGTACACGGAGATTTACCACAGATTCCTCAAATCGCTTGGCTACAATCCGGGAGCTAAGATCAAGGGTATCGTTATTCTGGTACTACTATTGCGCCTGCGGCAATTCTGTTGCCATCCCGGTCTAATGCTGGGGGTATGTATAGTTATTTCGCTGTGTGTACTAAACATAATTAAAACCATGTTCTGCAGATGTTGTGTGGTTCCATGACCGCTGAGGATGTGCAAAGCGTGAGGGCTGACGTATCAGATGTGGAAAGCCAACTTAAGATGGATGTCCTTGCGGAGTTGAACAAGTATGCTCCACCAACCAACGAAGAGGATTCATTTGACGAGGAAGATGTTGTCATAAAAAACCGAAATGTCAAATTGGAGGACACACAACATACCACAGGAGCCAAAAAATGCAATAAGGAGGAATATAAGCCGTGGGATACGGGTGACGAGCAGCCCACGTGCAGTTCTGCTGATACGTTAGATGCGACCAGAGCCCTCAAGCTGCTTAATCCCGACAATCCCATTTTCGAATTTGCTCGCCCCTCCGCTAAACTTTCGCTAGTTATCGAAAAGCTGGAGGAGCTACTAAATGGTACCAATGACAAAATAATTGTTACATCTCAGTGGCTCGGCTACCTGAGCATCATCCGGAAACGTTTACAGGATCAGTCATGGGAGACGCTTGATTTTACTGGGCAGTTAAGCGCGAAAGATCGTGAGCAGGTGTTGCGGGACTTTAACGAGAATAACGACAAGCGCGTTCTTCTTCTCTCCCTCACCGCAGGCGGTGTAGGATTGAATCTCAACGTGGCCAACCACATGCTGATGGTTGACCTCCATTGGAACCCGCAGCTGGAGCGACAGGCTCAGGATCGTATTTACCGATACGGTCAGACGAAGCCAACCTTTATTTACCGCTATATGTGTGAGGACACTGTGGAGCAGCGAATCAAGGCGCTGCAGGACTACAAGCTAGAGATAGCCAAAGTGGTGCTACCAAAAGAAGAGGGAGGAGTGTCCCCGCGCAGTGGCGGTGGTCTCAACCTCGCGGAGCTCAAGAAACTGTTCTCAATGTGAGAACACAAATATTATTTCGTTATTTGGCAAAACAAATTTGACTTTTGTACTTTGAAACCAAAAAAATCGTGTTAGGTATTATGACCTTTTGTTTTTTTTTTATTTATATTGAAGTTAGAGTAGCTTATAAAACTAAAACTAACTATGAAAGTTGCAGACCTTTTGTATTATCGTTAATTAACCCCGACATTGAATATGAGATAAGTACCATTACTGTGTTTACTTTAATTTGATAAGAACAAAAGTTTTCAAAACGTTGAACTATGTTATTAATGACGCTTTTGGAAAACCAATTCAAATTCAATTCAAATACCAAGAGAAGGTTTGCTTCTTTCAGATTTAATCATTTTTGCTTAAGAAGTTGTGTTATGTGTAATTTACTTTAACTCTAAAAGGTATTTTGTACCTGGCTCACAGAATGTAATCTAATGCAAGAATTTGCGAAAGCGAAACACATATATGTTATTTTTATCTTTGTGAAGTAAAAGATATTTATTTCAATTTGATATTTTTTTAATGTGCTTATGGGAAATTAATTACACTTTCTTTGTCAATGAATTATAAAGTAAAGTTTGTTATAAAGTTCAGTTTTTATACATGAGTTTATAAAGTATACTTATGAAAACAAATTTTTTTAACGAACAATGAATTTACCAATGAAGTGGTTAACTTAATAGTATTTCAATTTGTTGGCATGAATGAAAAAAAAAATCAAAATCATTCTTCAGTCGTAATCAAATATTTTTCAGAATAACACAATTGAAAATAGCAATTTAATGTAACAAAAGTTTATGTCACTAGTAAGGAAACAAATTTCAAGATTTTAAATGAAATGTAGTAATGGATTTGTTACTTTAATTATGCCTCTTCTTTTATTGGCAGTTTGCCACGAGTCAAACGGATGACAACCTCCTTCCCTTGGAGCGATTTTGATGTGTTACTATGAATTCTATGTTGGTGCTCCCGCAAGAAATGAACCTCTTTAAATACCAAAGAGCAGAATTCGCATCGGAACGAATCACCTAAGTGAGTACGCTCGTGGCTTTTAAGAAGTTCATCAGTTGGAAATTCTTCACAGCAGTAAGAACATTTTAAGGGTCTTCGATCAGCTTTATGAGTAAGCATATGCCGGTTAAGACTGTATATTCTGCAAAAGCTCTTAAGGCAAATGTGGCATTTCGGTTTCCTGTTCGTAAAAATATATTTAAATAATCAATTTCTATATTGCAAGAGTCTTACTTGGCTTGTCCAGACGGGCATGTTTCGTGATCTGAATTTCTTAAACGTCGAAGCAATTTTTGGTTATCATTCTTGTGAAGACCAGAATCTTCAGTAGCGTCACTGCTTTCTTCATCATGTTCTAAAGGGTTCTCGTTACTAAAAAATCATAAAATTACAAAAATTTCAATGGAAATTATAAATTTTCTAAGGATTAGTCGAACAGGAACAGAAGATTTTTCCTCTCACCGCAGCTGCCTGGAATCAAAATTATTATCAATATTCAGATTATCAGAGCTTCGGCTGCTGTCCGTTCTGGTTGTAAATGGATCAAATTCAAAATGGTATAGTTTATTAATAATGCAAACACCCACAGTTTAGAGCTGGCTTCAAAGCTAAGCTGTGCATAGTTCGCCTCTACATCCTGCTCCTGATCGCTGGACTCCGAGTCGTGGTTTTCTGAAGAGTCCGATTCAAGGACTGTTTTAGTTAGGTGCTCTTTCCGATGGAGTGCTAGCATGTTGCCTTCGCTGAATACGGCGGAGCACTGGTCGCAGGTTAGTGGTCCATCGTTGTCGTGTGTGCGAAGGTGTCCCTTCAGATAATCACTCCGCATGAAGGCCTTTGGACAGTGAGGACACTTGTGCATTGGCTTGCCTGTGTGCGTCAGCAAATGTCGCTTTAGGGAATGTTTGCTTGAATAGGTGCGTTGGCAGTCGGAGCACCTGAGACACTCGTCACTGATATGGGACTCTAACTCAGACTTAGAGTTAAACTTTTTAGAGCAATGAACGCACATGAAATGAGAGCTCCTGAAGGTAGAAATAACTCAATTAAGTTATTAATTGGTGTTAGTTACCTTATTCCGAGAACTACAATATGTTTGTCGTACAATTTTGAAAAATGATTTCAGAAAAATGTAAAACATTTTAATTAGTTTTCCCGTAAAATTTGAAAATTATTTTTCACCTTTACACAAAAAATTTATCTCATTTTAATAAAAATGATCATGATTATTATGGTTTGATAAACATGAATTCAAATTTCACTGGTAACTTCTAACATTGCTAACATTTAAAGTCATGTTTTGCGATAAGACGCAATTAAATGTAGAACTACTAGAAAACTAGAGCTTTAGACTGTTAACCAAAATCGTGTTTAAACTCTAAAATTTTGATAGGTAAAGAAAACTACTAACTTTGGAGTTTTCTTAGGAGATTCTTGTGTTGTTATTTTCTTGGGAAAATTTTGGTTGGCACACGATTCAGCTGAATCATCTGTTTGCTGTTGATCTTGATGCCGCTGCGTTTTAAGCCCACTATTCAAATTTTCTTCTTCTTTCTTCTCCGACTCTGGCTTTTGGTCCGGGTATTGAAGGCGATTCGTCTCCCTATCGCTTGCCAGATACGGCTTGTTCAGCAGGTTACAAAAATACTGGTAGCTGCGTTCGCTTCTCCACTTAAAACGGAAGGACTCTTGGGCAGCGTTGACACAAGACAGGCAAATAAAATGCGGCAGAAGGTCGCCTCGCTCCACTGTGCGATTGGTGCACTGGGCCAAAATGTGGGACATGCTCGTCTCCGGCTCATCAAGCGACGGATCCCGAATATCGGCAAAGATGTCCATCAGGGTGGCGGTCTCGTCCATACAAACCCGGCACACGTTTTTCATGATCTCCAAGCTTTCCAATTCGACGCCAACCTTTGGCGGCGTTTCCATAAGTTTTTTGAACTTATTGCTCTTTTTGGGAAACATTTCCGCGTTAATTGTAATAATAATCCTCAATCTCTGACCAAATACACTACGTTTCAAAAAATATGAAGATTGAGGCTTTTTTTCTCCATTTACGAACTCTGATCAGTTAATCAGCGTAGATTTTACTACGTCTTTCATAAAGTCATCTCTGGTAATTCATAAAAGTTAACGGTGCCATTTAGTGGATCAGTGTGCGTGCATTTGCACAGGGATGCACTTGTTGCGTTAACTTATCCAGGTTATACATATATACTAATTTTTAAATTAAAATATAATATAAGTTTATTTTTATTTTTTAAGGTCAAATATAGCAGGAAAATGCATTTTTTTTATTCAAAACATTAAAAGCTATCTCCTAGCAAATATTAAGACAAATACTGTCGGATATTATGTAATATGTAACAATCATTAGTTTTTAACTTGGCCAAGAAACACAAGAGCCCTTTTGCAATACTTTTACCCATGCCCTTGCACATAACTCAAATGACACAAGTTGGCAGCGCCCTCGGCAATCAGCTGATTAACTTTCTGAATGCGGACAACTTGTCTGTATGTTTATAAATATTATGCCGATCAATGGAAAAAGCAATAGTTATGTGAGTGGCTAGGCAGCAATCACAACGAACTTTGTAGAGAACCCCGCTTAATTCTTTGCCAGACTTGATAAATTGGCCCGCAACGCTTTGCGGTCGCAGAGAAAACCGCACTTCTGCCTTCCATTGGCTAGGGAGAATCACTTCAAACGCTTTTGCAGTACATCTAAGTCAGATTCCAAGGAAATCCGGAAAATGCTTAGCGAACTACCTCTCTTCGCTGGTGGCGAAATCGTCCGTGGATTTGGCCGTGGCTCCAAAGAGCTTGGCATCCCAACAGGTTGGTGGTGATGACAAGTGAACCCCGAAGGTCATAGCTAATTGATAACCAAAACACTTGTTAGCTAACTTTCCACTGGAGGTGGTGAAATCTCTGCCGGAGTCATTGCCTACAGGCGCTTACTACGGCTGGGCAAACGTGGACAATGGACCCGTGTACAAAATGGTCCTCAGCGTTGGCTGGAACCCTTTCTATAACAACAAGGAGAAGAGCGTCGAGACGCACATGCTGCACGATTTTAACTGTGACCTGTATGGCCAGCTACTTAAGATATGCATTGTGGGGTACCTGCGACCCGAGCGGAGTTTTGACTCCCTGGAGTCACTAATAGCCGCAATCCGGAAGGACATTGAGCAGGCTAAAGGATTTCTGGACGAGGCGGACAAGGCTAAATTGAAGGACGCTCCGTTCTTTACCGAGAAGCTTTGTTCCTCAAAATAAATATTCCACTAGGTATCCTGGAGGAGGCGAAAAAAGCAAAACTAATGGAGGCTTCATTCACCACCGAAAAGCTCTGTAACTGAAAATAGTTATTCCACAAGCTATCTTATCACTTAATTTGCACTATGTACAAAGCGGATTTCGAATATCGATTCAAGTACTTAAGTTGGCTGTTTTCATTAAATTCCGACTCCCTCATCATGACACCAAAAATCAAATCAATCGCATTTAACTTTGATACTTGACATATTTATAAACAAAACCTTTTTTATAAATGCTCGTGGGGCGCATTTTTTCTAATTGGGGGTGTGACTCTTTATTTTGAAATGTCAGTTGTTGCTAGATGGGTTATTTGGTAACAATAAAAAACCTGCTGATAGCTAAATTTTTTATTTAAATTGTCTACAACTATATATGTATACACATATATTTATTTTTTAAAAGTGCCATAACCCTTCGAAGTACTATACAAATCGTATTGGAATAACCTATTCCTAATTGGATTTTTAATTTCAAATTGATATGTTAAAATGTAGCTAATTACATAATAAAAGTAAATTATTTTCAACGTTTTATATTTGTTGTATTTTTTTACATACAATATTTAAATATACTTCAATTTAAACATACATTTTAATCCATGTATTTAATATTAAAATAAAGGAAAACCCTACGTAATCCTAAAAGCATATTTTTAATTTTTAATCTTTTAATTAAACATGGGATCTCCTGTTAGTTCTTTAATATAATGTTTGTAATTATATATGTACATATGTATATCCAATTTTTAAAGGTCGAATAATAAAAACATGGTTTGTCCAACTATCGATAGCTGCAAGCGATCGATATTGGGTTTGATCTCGCACGATTTTCTGAGCACCAAACTAAGCTGCGCGTGCGAGCGTGCGAGGATTTTTCTTGTATAAAACCGTTGCGTAAATCAACAGGTAAATCAGATCGACGCCAGCTGCCCCAAAAGTGCAATAAGCTGCATAGAATTACCATATTGAACGTATTTCCCAGCAGCAACATGTCGGCTCCACAGCAGCAGCAGCAAGAAAACGTGCGCGTGGTCGGCCAGCAACAGCAACAACAGGTGGAACCAGCTGAGGCGGTGACCTCCACTCTGGGATCGGACTCCATCTCGGCCAGCAAGGAGCTAACCGGTTTGACACACGAGTGTGGCGTTTTCGGGGCCATCGCTTGCGGGGATTGGCCCACACAGATGGATATTGCTCATGTGATCTGTCTGGGTCTGGTGGCTCTGCAGCATCGCGGCCAGGAATCCGCGGGTATAGCCACCAGCGAGGGGAAGTGCTCGAAGAATTTCAACGTTCACAAGGGCATGGGCATGATCAGCACCCTCTTCAATGACGAGTCCATGAAAAAGTTGCGAGGCAACCTGGGCATTGGACACACTCGCTACTCCACCGCTGGCGGCTCTGGAGTGGTCAACTGCCAGCCTTTTGTGGTGCATACGGCCCACGGAGCTTTGGCCTTGGCGCACAACGGTGAGCTGGTCAACAACGAATCTCTAAGGAGGGAGGTTTTGGCCAGGGGCGTGGGCTTATCCACCCACAGTGATAGTGAACTGATCGCCCAATCCCTCTGCTGTGCCCCGGAGGATGTTTCTGAACTGGACGGACCGAACTGGCCGGCCAGGATAAGGCATTTCATGATGCTGGCGCCGCTTTCCTACTCGTTGGTCATCATGCTGAAGGACAAGATCTACGCCGTACGGGATACCTATGGAAATAGGCCGCTCTGCATCGGCAAGATCGTGCCCATCAACGCTGGACATGGCAACAGTTACGACACTCCTGCTGATGGCTGGGTGGTTTCCAGCGAAAGCTGCGGTTTTCTCTCAATCGGAGCTAGATACGTTCGGGAAGTAGAGCCCGGAGAGATTGTGGAACTGTCGCGGAGTGGCTACCGCACGGTGGACATCGTGGAAAGACCCGACTTCAAACGTATGGCCTTTTGTATATTCGAGTATGTATACTTCGCCCGCGGAGATAGCATCTTCGAGGGTCAGATGGTCTACACAGTGCGGCTGCAGTGCGGCCGGCAACTGTGGCGGGAAGCCCCCGTTGAGGCGGATATTGTGAGCTCCGTTCCCGAGTCCGGAACAGCAGCGGCCCACGGCTATGCCCGTGAGTCTGGCATTGAGTTTGCCGAAGTTCTCTGCAGGAATCGCTACGTGGGACGCACGTTTATTCAACCCTCGACCAGATTGCGGCAGCTGGGCGTGGCCAAGAAGTTTGGAGCCCTGTCCGAGAATGTGGCTGGCAAGAGATTGGTCCTGATAGACGATTCCATCGTGCGGGGCAACACAATTGGACCCATCATCAAGTTGCTGCGGGACGCAGGCGCTCGGGAGGTGCACATCCGAATTGCCAGTCCGCCGCTCCAGTACCCATGTTACATGGGCATCAACATTCCAACTCGAGAGGAATTGATTGCGAACAAGTTGAACGCCGAGCAACTAGCAAGGCACGTGGGCGCCGACAGCCTAGCTTATCTTAGTGTAGAAGGACTGGTTGAGGCTGTCCAACAAAAGCATCGGGATGCAGGAGATGGCAAGAACAAGCCCACTGGTCACTGCACTGCCTGTCTCACTGGCGAATACCCTGGTGGACTGCCCGATGAGCTGAGTTGGTGATCCCGGTTAAAGCCTGGTTGAAAATCGCCAAGAAACGGCCGGAAAACCAGTTTTGTTTACTCTTTTGCCCACCACAAAACTAAAAAAAAGAACGCAGTATCAAAAAAGCCATTGAGGGCCCGGAATTACTGTCACAAATTTTGCATTTAGTTTATCTAGCATAACACCCATTCCTATTTACACACTCTACCTTCCTAGATGTTAAGTGAAAAGCTCACGTGCTTCCCCAAACTAAAAGACGCTGATTAAAGTCTGGTTTTGTCTCTGGAAATTTACACTCATAGTACAAAGTATAACCCTCTATGTTGCCCATCTTGAATATCTTAAAAATTTGTTAATTGCAAATGCCAATAATAAAGACGTTTAGACCACGATCGCAACAGAACTATCAAAGGCTTCCACATTTCCATTTTCATGTTTACTAAGAAAAGCCATGAAGTATGGGGTTACCTGATTGGTATCGTCCATTTCAGGCCAAGGTACATATGCTCAATCAGCCGATGCCAACGGTTTAACGAAGTAATGCATCACCTCATATATGGATCAATGGTAAGGCAAACACTTTTCGCATTCAACAGAGTATAGATATGATTCTGGTGAATTCAAGATTTGTAATTGTTAAGATAAGAGGTCTCTATCAGTCAAACACTTTTCGCATTCAACAGAGTATAGATATGATTCTGGTGAATTCAAGATTTGTAATTGTTAAGATAAGAGGTCTCTATCAGTCGACTGAAAACTTTAAAGCAGTAGATATACTTATTGTCTTGCAGTTAAATGAAAAACTGATAGCAAACTTGTCTATGTAAATAAAAAAAACAAAGAAAGCTAGCTTCAGTTATACCTTTGAATTAAGAGTTTCACAAATTTGTAGTAACAAGATTTTTTCGAATGTAAGTTCGATCCTTATAATGTTTATGATAAGATGCACTACAGAGTACTCAGTTCTAACCTCCCTCTTAACATTCTAGCATATTCTCAAAGTCCTTCAACTCGAGTTCTCTTTCCATAACCTGTGTGTACAGATTATCAAGCGTTTCCTGCATTCGTTGCTTCAATGTGGCATTCTGAATAGAGGCTATTTCCGTGGATTTCTGCACCTGCTGTGCCTTGAGCTCGCTGATCTGTCGCGTAAGTTGACTGATCTTCTGCTGCACTTGTTGCTGCGAATATTGCGGCTGTGGCTCGTCTATAAACTCCATATTCTCAAACTCCTCTCGTTTCGTGAGCATTTGGTTATCGTAATAACCACTAGGAGCGGCCAGGTTAGAACTAGAACCGGCGGCGCTCAGCTTGGGACTGCTCGCCTCTTGGCCAAACATGGACTTGTTAAATTCGTTCTGCTCCATTTTTAAGCCGCCGGCTCCGGTATTGCTGCCGCTTGCGCCAAAGAAGTCCGACATGCGTGAGTCATCCGCAGAAAGGCGTGAAGAGTCCTCCAGCACGCGTCGCTGCATAGTGTTGTTTCCCTGTTCTGGCTCATCTTCGTCATCAGTAGTAGATACCTCCTCGCCAAAAATATCGTGCGCAGCCACACCCATGTTGGGCGCCCGGTGGGTGGGAAAGTTGCTGGTTTCATCATCGTCGGACTCCACGTTAACGTCTCGCTGGGAGCTGATGTCCATGATAGTTTTATCACTGGCATGCATAGTGGTGTCGTCCTGCATTTCATCGTCTGCATCGTTGTAGGGCTTTATATCTGATTGATCCAGTTCATCCATGGGTTTGTCCTCCTCATTTATGATTTCGTACTCAACCCTGACCGCCTCGTTATCGATTCGGAGTAGGTGCTTCACTTCCTTCTCGATTTCAGGAGCTTCGACGTTCTTTTTCTTTAAAGTCTTTCGAAATCGACGTTTTCTCACATTTTTGCAGGGCGGAGTAATACCATGCGGAAACAGGTACTTCTTGTCCACCTTGTTGGGATCCTTCTTCTTATTTTTGTTTGGGGACTCCTTCTCGGTGTCGTCTTCCGGTTCCTCCTTGCATATGAGTATTTGGCAAATGTCCGCCGACTTGTAGAAGCTTTTGTTGTCAATAGTCTTGTAGCTTTCAACGACTGTTGGTAGATCCACAAGTTTTGTGTAGAGCAGCTGGTCATCTAGGCGCACTTCGCCGTACCTCAAATCCTGATCCAGTTGAATGGTCAGTCGATCTTTTATGGTGCCCGAATTAATTGCATCATGGACAGTGTCGGCCAGTTCCTAAGGAAAGCAGAGTATTCATTCCCCGGCATGGCGTAAACAAAGCAGTCTCTTACCTTTGGTACGCGCATTATGAACTGGCTCTCCAGTTCCACGCCATCTTCCCGCGGCTTGTGCTCAGCCTGCTTAGCCTTGTCGCTCTTCTTTTCGAACATTTGACTGCGCTTTAGCGTAATACACACGGGATTTTTCCAGAAGACAACAAATCTTTCTTTCTAAAATTGCTTATTAGAGATGACAGCTTTGGCAACCGTTGACATGAAAGTCTATACTCAACAATCGATATCACTTTTAGGTTTCTTCACACCGTGCCGCATCAGTTATAATAAGATGTAACCAATGAACATTATAACTAATTTTTCTTTTTGCACAGATATTAGGCAAAAAATTGCACACATATATTTGTAAATGTTCATGCCTTAAGGCTGATTTGTTTCTTGAAGGGCGTATAACAGTTGTTTTGACTTTCAGGTGTGAATCCAATAAGCTATCGATATCATTCTAAGAGCCAACCCTGCTCCAATTTCTCCTTCTCATCCCTTTTGATATGACGGAAAAGACGAATTAATGTGGATTTCTAATAATTTATAACATAAAAAGGCATCGGAAGTTGAATAATTAAAGCTCGCTTGAGTTGACGGGGAGAAAGCAAGGCGGACGATATGCAGGAGAAGTGGTTACTGACCGGCCTTTCGGTGGCGCTCTTGCTATTGGGCACCTGCTCGGCGCTTTACGAAGACCAGATCAAGAAGTTCGACTGGTGAGTGTGGCCCGGTAAATGACCATTGACCCGGCGCTAATCCGAAAAATGTGCATCTGTCGCTTCTGCAGGCGAGGAGTCAATGTCGGTGCACTGAAGCAGTCGCGCGTGGACCTAAACCACTTCCAACCGCGAATTCTTGTTAGCACCCACGAAGGAGTGGTGGCCAGCTTGTGCGTTAAGACCGGCGAACTGGTGTGGCGTCAGGTTCTCGAGCAAACGCCGCGCGGTGACATAAAGCTGCTGCAGGTGAGCGGATTCGCCGATGACAGTAGCGACACGGCCGCCGCTCCGGTGGGCAGCAACATGGGATTCGACATGCTCACCGTGCAGGGACATGCACCCGCTCTGGTACGCGGATGGAACACAAATATGGGCGCCCTCGAGTGGGAGTGGTCTATCATGCCGCTTAACACGGAACGGGCCCAGGATTCGCTTTGGTTCTATAGCAAATCGGTCCTTTACCACGTTCTACCCGCATGGCGAAGCCACCTCGAGGTTACCGCCTATTTCGCCAGCTCAGGCCACAGCACAGGAAGCACCAGCAAGGTGATGGCCTCCTGGATCACGCCGGAAAGCTGCTCCCTCAGTGGCACCTTTTACGTCTGCGTAGACGGCAAGCAGTTAATAAGTCTGGATCTGGTCTCCAAGACCGGTCAGGTGATTCGAACCTCTCTTGAGGCGGAGCCAAAGGGAAAACTTCAGGTTTTGGCGGTAAGTTAATATATATAATTGGTAAGAACACCAGGTAAAATATATATATGTATGTAATTATTTTACTTATTCAAGCTCACGTAAAAGTAATAGATATTAATTATACCTTTTTTTCCAACAGGGTCTCCACGGTGTTGTAATTGTGAATGGCAAACTTGTAAGTGTCAACAAGGAGCAATCTGTCTGCAGTAGTCTGCAAAGTTCGAGCTATGCAGTGGGAAGCTTTAACTACCGAAAAATATTAGCGTATGCTGATTTAGCTTCAGGAGTGAGTTTATGCTTTGATAGATTAATGAAAGACAGTTTTTTAACCTTATCAACATATGCTTTTTTCAGATCCTCAGGATAAATGCCGTGTATCTGGACAACTGTGCACCTGCGACAGAACTGGAACAAAGTTTGCCCTTCCCTGAGCACTTTGGGACTCCATCGCTGAATAATTTCGACTGCAAGCAAAAACGCAACGGTGAGGGCAAGAGCTGCTTATTCCTGTTTGGCACCAGTTCTGAGTCCATCGTGGCCGTGCAGCAGGGACGCATTCGTTGGTCGCGCGAGGAGGCTCTGGCCAATGTCATCGACTCACAGTTTGTTGATCTGCCACTTGCCGATACAGAGGGCACTCTGGAAAGCGAAATGAAGGGCAAGGCCGGTGAGTACTCTAATAGTAAACTAAATCTAAGCAAAATTCTAAAATAATTATTTCTGAAAACTCACAACAAAGGGGATTTCACAAGTTTCGAGAGTAAGTGAATGTCCTTAGCATATTAAGGCTACAAAATTATATTTTTGGATGTGTTATTTCAATGTTTATGATTCTATATTGCATATGACCGCAGTCGGTTAATACAAAAATGACTAATATTTGTTTGCATGCTTTATTAGCTGAATGCCAATACAATGCAGCGTTAATTTTATTTGTCAATTAATATTGCAAAATAACAACTGTATCATATTTAGTAAAAACAATTGTAGCTAGCTAGCTCTTTTTTTGTAAAATACTCAAGGTTTCCGAAAAACCAAGAGAAATACGTTTATATTTTATGATTGGATTTGTACTTTGTTTATGTGAATTTTTAATTTTTTTATTGTTTATTCCACTTTAGTAACCAATTTTATTTATATTTTTCTGTGTTCGATTTGATCAGGAGATATCGCCAGTGCCTTCTTGCGTCGCATTACCACTCAAGCTGTTCAGATCAGGAGCTTGTTCCTTCATGTAATTGGGCTGGGACCTCCGCCCACGGATACGCAGCGTGCTGGCCTAGTTCGAGATTCTTTTGGTCTGCACAAGATGCTGGTTTTGCTTACGAGAGCTGGAAAAGTCTTCGGCATTGATAACATCTCTGGAAAACATCATTGGCAGTTATATCTTCCTAACGTCAATGGTTTTGATAATGGCGAACCGATGCGTTTGATTGTACAACGCTCGGCCAAACACTTTCCGCTTCAGCCTCTGTGCACTATTTTAGGAAAGAATGCCGTAAGCTTAGATGGTCTGAAGTTGTCACAAATCTCATGCTAATTTTCTTTTTTTTCTTAGGTCCATGACAATGGTGTGCTTTATCGTTTTAATCCCATAACTGGAAAGGCAGCGGAAGGCGGTCTCATTCAGCTGGATTACAAGATCAAGCAGCTCTCGTTGCTGGGAGAAACGGAGAAGGACTTCATAAAGGGTATTTTGTTACTAGATGCTTCAAACAAGGTTCATGTTTACCCCCAACATGCGACACCATTGGTAAAGAACAAAATACTTCTGTTATCAATTAATTTTTAACATTTTCACTAAATAGGCCGATGGAATGTATTTGTACACAGCTGATGTAAAAACTGCCGAGTTGTCGGGTTACTTTGTAAAATATACGGGCGGTGTAAGTAGTATAATTTAAGGGCCTTAGAACTGTTAACAAACTAAAATTTTCCCATCAGCAACTTTCGAGTACGCATATTTGGAACGCCCGCTTGGGAGGCCACAACTCAGAACAGCAGATTATCGGCGTTGCCGGAAAGAATCCTATCGAGCATGTCCATTCGCAGGGCCGCGTGTTGGGCGACCGATCAGTGCTTTACAAGTACATTAACCCCAATTTAGTGGCCTTTATTACACAGGCGCCGGATGCCACACACAAATGTGGGTTTTTATGCTCTTTGTTTAAATTGGAATTCATTAGCAAGTCATTCAATCCACAGCTGTGCTAAATTTGTATCTGGTTGATGTGGTCTCCGGGTCCGTGGTTTTCACTATGACGCATCGTAAGGTGCGTGCCCCATTAAGTATTGTGCACTCAGAGAACTGGCTTGCCTACTCCTACTTTAATGAAAAAGTGCGACGCACAGAGATTAGTAAGTTACCAATCTTATTACCAAATAACTAAATTAACCAGATGTACCTTCCTATAGCCACCATTGAACTGTACGAGGGCAAAAGCCAGGCGAACAGCAGTGTTTGGAGCTCCTTGCAGGCTCCACCAATGCCGCTTGTCGAGCGTCAGTCCTATATCATCCCCACAATTGTTGAGGCTCTGAGGGAGACGATCACAGAGCGCGGAATTACCAATAAGCACGTGTTGAGTAAGCTATTTTAAAAGCTTTTCCAAAAATGTAATAACAACAACTGTTTGTGTTTCTAGTCGGCACTGCGAGTGGTTCTATCGTTGAAATGCCATGGCATTTGCTGGATCCCCGCCGTCCTATCGCATCCACGACTCAGGGACGCGAGGAGGGAGCCATTCCTTACATACCGGAGTTGCCTTTGCCAACGGAAAGCCATATAAATTACAACCAGACGGTGGCCCGCCTGCGTAATATTTATACCGCACCAAGTGGTCTGGAGAGTACCTGTCTAGTCGTTGCCACGGGTTTAGGTATGAGAAGATTGAAACTAACCATCACATCTGACTTTATATACAACTAGAGGTCCTGTGCCCGCTTCGCTGGTCAACACAATTTAACAACATAATAGTCAATGTTGCACGTCCAATTCCTATTCGTCTAACAGCAGGCATTATTTCAAATTGTTTAAGCTCGCTCTATTTTTTGTTTAAATATTTTTTTACCGACTTCATCGATACACAAAATCAACGCAGCTATGATCTTTTTTTTTACATACAACATTGTGTACATCTGTTGAGCCGCTAGCGACTTTTCCAGAAGGTTTTCCCAAAATTTTCTTATGCTTAAACCTTCTTCTGGTTCTAAGCTATCTCCCTACCAATTTTCAGCCAAATCGGTCAAGCCGTTTTCATGTGATGCGATTGCGCACATATTTTGTCTCCATTTTTATATATATAGATATTTTGATTAACAAAATATCCTTTCTTTTGCAGATTTGTTCGTTACGCGCGTGTCGCCCTCCAAGACGTTCGATTTGTTAAAGGAGGACTTCGACTATATTCTCATTTCCATAGTGCTAGTCGCGCTCACATCGGGCTCGTTGATTGTTAAGCATTTAGCGTCGCGTAAATTGCTCAAGCAGGCGTGGAAATAGGCGTGGCATTATTATTAAATAATTGCTTTATATACATATAACATTTTACTGCGACCAAATACAACAAGGGAGGATGGAATGATAATAGAGAAGCAACCCGGCGAAGAGAATATTGATATACATAACATAACTCTGGTAGCTGCATTACATACCATAATGCGATCGATAAAAACTTTTCTCAACGCTAAGCCTAGGCAATTATTTATAATTAATTATATAGCGTTAAACATCAAATAATTATAATTAGCTGTTGAAAGGTTTTCATTGCATTTTTCTGTTCCTTTGATTTGTGTTCGTTTTAATTTCCATAAATGAAAAATATCAGCATTGAAAGTGTGTTTAAAGAAATGTAGTTAATAAAAGCATTTGTAAAGGAGGACAATGGTAAAGTAAATACAAAATTTTTCATCAGAACAAATCTTGTATTTTTGTCGTTTGGATTTCCGACTATTAAGAATTTGGGAAACTATTATATTCTTCGAATCACAAAAAGTATTTATTAAATAGTATTATTAATTTGTGTATATAAACAATTTTAAAACGAAAATTTAAACGCTTAGTGATTAAAATTTGTTAAAAATAATACCCTTTGCTCTGCAAGGGTATAACTACGTGTAATCTGTTGGAGACTCATTTATTGTTTGAATTACTCATGTAGAATGTAAATTGCGCGCCAAGACCAGCTGTTATCGTAATCAAGTGTTTTCCAACACATCCAAGTCCACCTGATTGGCCAGATGTTTTTGTCTTCTTCTTCTTACGGTGCTTTACAAAATCGAAAAGAATGGCACTGCGTGTTTTTGGCCTAAATATAGTGAAAACTAACAGAAATCTTTTGCAAAATGCATGCAAATCTAGTGTCCCGCCCGCAGGCCATATGGCAAGTAGAATTTCAAGGACTTAAACTCTTATTTAAGTAGAATCACAGCCTTTTAAACAAACACTAAGCGTTTGCATAACCTTTCAGCCGGTGGCTTCATTTGCAACCGAAGTAACCATCCAGGCGGCTCCGGCGGCGGTCCAGAAGCAAAAGGTTAGCAAGGCCATGCGGGCATACCTGAAAAGATCAAACGAACACGACGAGTTCATGAAGACCCAGCATCTGGAGTTCCAGATCGGTAAGAGGCACCTGGCGAACATGATGGGCGCCGATGCGGAGACTTTTACCCAGGAAGATATTGACGTGAGTGACTTGGTCATTAAAATCATAAAACTGCTTAAAAGAACAAATTCACCAACTGCAGGAGGCGATATCATATCTGTTCCCGTCCGGCTTGTACGACCAAAAAGCCCGCCCGGCCATGAAATCGCCCGAGGTTGTCTTTCCCGCTCGGAAAGCCGCTGAATTCGATGAGACGGGCAGACCGTTCCATAGCATGTTCTACACCGGCAAGCCAAACTTCTTCCAGCTGCTTCATGTAAGTGAAAGTATCAAGCGAGAAAAACCGAAGCACTCTTGAGCTTGGCTTTTAAGGCATCGAAGTACTTAATCTTAATAGAAGATGACAACTACATTTATGTACAAATTGTGCAGGTCCACTGCCGGCAAAAAGCTTAAGCCATATTTCATGTGCTAAAGAAACAACTTTAAATGTGTTTTTTTTCCCAAAATCAAAACTTTTTAAAATGTTTCTTTTTTTCGAATTCCCAGGACATTGTGGAGGAAACCAAGAAGTTGGCGGATCTGGAGGAGCGTATGCTTCGTCGCGGCAACAAACCCGATGAGAACCAAAAACTGTAAGTCACGTTTCTGCGATAAGTAAGAAAAGAATGTTTACATTGCTTTGTATTTTTCAGAGAAATTGCCGGCTTTCAGCTGTTGCCCAAGGATCAGTTAGAAATATTGCTGGTAGAGACCATTGCCGATATTGAATACTCCAACTTCACTAAGTCCATGGATCGGCTTATCGCTTCGCCCTATGCTTACAAGAGCAAAACCTTTATTGAACGTTTCCTGAAACCACTGATGGATCAGTCCAAGCAGTTAGAAGTGCCGAAGCCTAAGATCGATGAGGAGGGTCGCCAGTACATCACCACTTACGAGTGCTTGCGCAAAACAGCCAGAGCTGACGTCACAGTGAGGCTGCCGGGTACGGGAAAGATCACCATAAACGGCAAGGATATCTCATACTTTGAGGATGAAAACTGCAAGGAGCAGGTGAGTCAAGCCTTTAACTAAAAATTTGATGCGATGCGATCATGGTTAACAAATACTCATTTGGGAATTAGGATTTTTTTCTTTTCTTTATATTAAAAGCTGGGGAGACGTATTTTAAAAGATAGACTTGGATTAAAAAACTTTTCTCTTCTTTTCAAAAATTTGTAAAGAAATGTCCAATTAGTTGAATTTAGTTATGTTAACGATTTTTTCAAGCATTAAATTTTTTCATAAAAGTTTAAAACATTCTAAAAAATTTAAAAAATCGAATACATAATTACCGGCAATGAATGCTACATTTGTTTTAATTGTTTCCTTGTATATTAGTAGTCGTTTTTTCGGTTAGAGCTACAATCCCCAACCAGTTAAACAAACACTCCCACTTCATAACAATATATAAAGCATACATTTTATTAAGAATAAAAATTTGCATTAAATTACTATATAAACGATTCTCTGACGACAACGCCAAAACAACAAAGACACAGCCTGAAACCAGCCACAAATCAATCCTGCCAACTGCTCGCCTCTAATTTAACTACTAACTGCTATTTATAGTATTTATATCGATAATAGTGTAGTATGGTGTGGTATATGGCTATATAGCGTATGTATAGGGCGCCTGGCGCATCGATATCAAAATTGGTTTAACTACAACTCGCTGCTACGATAATATCAACAATGTTCTGGATTGGTTTTGGGATCTGAACGACCCACCTTACGCCTAGGAAGCATCTAAATCTGATCTAAAAATATTCCGAAAGGAGTGCACTAAATGCATGCTACTTGCGCAGATTCTGCTTCTGCTGATTGGAAATCACAATCAGCAGCTTGTCGATGACTTTGCTGGCCTGCTGCTGCTGCGATATGAGCGCCTGCTTCAGCTCCTGGATCTCCTGGGTGAGGAACTCAATCCGATCAGCATTGTCATCGATCTTGGTGGTTAGTGTGTTGAATTGGCCTGCATCCGGATCTGGATCGGGTAGAACATATCCCGTAGTAGCGCCATTATTATTGTTGTACTTGTTCTTGTACGACAAATAGTTCTCGGCTGAATTTTTCGAGGACACCGTATGTCCGAAATGCTTTCGCATCTTGCCGACTTCGTAGGCCTTCATTAGAATGTCTCTAGGCAATCGCTTTTCGCTGGGATTAAGTGGCTTGACACATAGAACCACCCTGTAAGCCTGTGGAGAAACCAACGCTGTGTAGTGCAGCAGGTTCCTTAGCCAGGTGGGCAGGTAGCCATTGAACAACGCCGACTCAATGTAGCTGATCAGCTTGGTCTGTCGCACTAGTTTGGACAATCCGGCGGTCTTCTTTAAGCCCTGGATATCATGGACTGCTATGCCCACCAGCAAGTTCATTAGGATGATGGTCACGAACAGCAGAAAGAGCACAAAGGTGATTTGTGCACTGACTTCCAGCAAGAAGGGGGGATCCTTGCCCTCGGGATCGTTGATCAGTAGCGACAGATCCTGTTCACCAATCATCATTACCAGGACTGTTATGAAACCCATGAAAGGATTGGCAAATGACGACGACGAGGGAAAGATGACGCAGAAACTGATGGTGAACCCAATCAGCATGCAGGAGTAGGCCATGAATAGCTTGGCGAACTCTCCCTGGACTCTGGTGTACATGGCCACATAGACATCGAAGACCGGAAGCTGGCCGATCATTAACATCAGGTTCGTCCAACCGAGCAGCACGGCAAAGGCGCCTATGTGGTTTTGGAACGTGTACGTCTTGTTCGTGTAGATATAGGATATAACAAACACGCTGGTGATCACGAACCACTCCATGATGTTCTCCACCTGCGTCACATAGTGCCTAAATGACGAGTAGCCCGTGATCCCGTACAGCTTTCTGAATATCTCCACTATGGTGATCGCGACCAGAACCCACCACTGCATCTCCATCACGAAGGGGTTGTTCCGCAGCATGTCTCCCAGGATGGACTGCTTCTGGCAGAGCTCCTGTGCCGGAATCGTGGTGTTATCGTTCTTGCTGCCATTGTAGCAGTTGTGGGCCAGAGCTGTCAGCACGTAGAGCGTGAGGAAGAGCACGAAGCTGAAGCAGAAGATCAGCCTGCCGATGTAGTACTTGCGGATCTTGCCCCACTTGATGTACAGAAACGAGGAACAGAGCGGGTGCTCCAGAATCTCCTTCTGACCCTCGTCGACGAACGTGTTCAGGTAGCTGATCTCGCGCGGATGACAGTGCTGCAGCAGCTGACGGAAGTCCAGCTCCAGTTCCACTTCGCGATTGACGGGGTCCTGGAAAAGGAAATTAAGAAACAGATTAAATGAATCAAAAATTGTTCTAAGGTTCAAAAGCGGAGTCCCTTATAAAAATATCTCCCAACTCACCTGCGAATGATGCAGCGTAATGGCCGCGTCCAGTTTTTGTCTGATCATGGCCACCGAAGCCGGAGTCTTCCGGGTGATCACGTTCAGCGCCGAAGTGCCCTTCTTCGACTTGGTGGTCACATCCGCCCCGTGAAATATCAGCATTTCTACGCACTGCACCAGGCCATCCAGTGCAGCCAGGTGGAGAGCCGTGAACCCATAGATATCCTTGTGGTTGACATTGGCCCCCCACTGGATGAGGGTCTCCATGATGTCGTAGGCATTCTCGGACTTTCCCACTGCCGCGTGGAGAGGAGTTCGGTGATCGAAGTCCTCGGCGTTGGCGTCCGCATTGCCGTTCCTCAAAAGGGACTCCACGCAATCCAGACTGGAGGTTCTGGCTGCCAGGTGGAGGGGCGTGAAACCTCGGTGGTTCTTCAACTTGGCATCCGCACCCTTGGCCAGCAGTAGGTCCACGCACTCCACGTTGCCCTCATCCGCTGCCAGATGCAGAGCGGTGGACTCCTTTTCCCGGATGCAGATGCGCACATTGGCGTCCGCGTTGGGAGCATTCAGCAAGGCCTCCAAGCACTGCAGGTTGCCCAGGTCGGCGGCCAGGTGAATGGCATTGGTGCCGTTCGGTTTGAGCGAGTTGACATCGGCGCCTTCGCCGATGAAGATCTGCAGGCACTCCAAAGCATTCGATCGCACGGCGCAGTGCAGCAGGCTCTCCTCGCAGTTTGGTTTGTTGGTATCCTTGGATATCTCCGCTCCGTTGTTGATCAGAAACTTGGCCGCCTCCGCTGCATTTCCAAAGGCCGCACAATGCAGAGGGGTGTAGCACTTGGACTGCAGATTGACGTTCAATCCCTTGGCCACCAGGAGACCCAAGGTGGCCAAGCAGCCACTGAAGGCGCTCAGGTGGAGGGCAGATATGCCGTTCTGGTCGCAGAAGTGGAGGTCGGCGCCCGCCTCCAGCAGGCTCTCGATCAGGTCCCAGCGCTTGAGGTAGGCGGCCCACAGGTAGCTGAGATTCTTCTCCAGCTTCGAGGCGGACTCGAAGTGCGCCCGGATGCCCTCGGCCACCACGTTGCTCTGCTCGATGTCCTCGAAGAGCTTGACGCGACCCGCGGCGCTCTTCATCTGGTCGATCAGGCTGATCCGCAGCGTGTCGTTGCATATCTGGACGCTCAGCTCGCTGGTCGGCTCCTCGAAGCTATCGTACATGCTCGGCGCACTCTCCGCCGGCGGCGACGGTCCACACTCCATGTATTCGAATTCTCCGGCGGTCGGGTACTGGGCTTCGATCATGGCGTCAGTGTTGTTCCGCCATCGCACCATCAAGTTGGGTGGAATCGATTTGAAACTGTCGGAGAGGGATTACTATTAGCGGATGAGTATTATTGAATTGAAAGTTGTGCAGGTGTTCTACGGTTGGGTAACTTCTAACAAAGAGCTTTGATTAGTGGAAGATTCTCATTGAACAACCATGGGATTGCTGATTTTAACACCAATCATTACAGTAGGAACTCGATCTACAAATACGCCCGAGCAGCTTAAAGAGCTAATATATGAGGTTGACCTTTTAATTATTACCACTAGACTATTAAATTAAAAGAATCGTTCATGGTATTTTTTGAAGGGATTGATTTTTTATAAACTGCAATACATTATTAAAAAAACGATTTGTTTCCCATTTTTTATTAAATGTGTTGTTGAAGTTAAATATATATTTTTTATGTTTGGTAAACCGAGTCATTAATTAATCACTCGCAGCAATTTATCAAGTTGACTGATGATTTGTAGAACATTTTGATGATCTGCTAGTTTTTAATTATTATATTGGGTTTAATAAAGCCTAGACTTTCGACGTATTTACTAGAAATCATGAAAATTTCGTAAGCATATAGGTATATAAAATATATATTTTAAAAGTTTAAAAATAGTAAAGAATATAGAAACTTTATTGAGTTAATTTAAAAACCTTAAACAGGTTTCGGAGGTTTTATATTGATTTTCAACTCGTTGACAGCATTCTGTGAATCAGATTATACGGATTTTGTGGCGATCAAAGAAATTTGTGTGTGATTAGTGAACACTTTTATTGAAGTGGAAGTTTTTCATTGTTTATTTAGCACACATTTTAATCATCATTCAATTCAACTTAGATTTCTGTTGTTAGAACAAACTAAACTCATTGAATTAATGGTAAATTGCGATTTAGGGCTTTATAAGATACCTTAACTTTTTTTTACTACTACTGATAGTTGTTTTGCAACTCTGAATTGCTCGCTTTTTTTGTGTTTTTATGAAGCTCAGAAGCAAGAACTCTTAATTATTTCACTGCCATTAAAACACCGAATTAGTACTTAATCAGACTGGCTGAAGTTGCCTAAACACAAAGCCATTAAATAGACTCGCACTTTTCTTTGTCTCCACTCTCATCTCGCACAACAAAACTTTTTATAGATTTGTAAACATATATTCTCCATTTGCTTAAATGGCACTGAACAGCAGAGTTCGAGATCTGTTGACTTTTTGAGCATGCATAATTTTAAATAATTATTGTGTGTGTTATTTTTGCGTTGGGAGTTATGCAAAGTTGGCGGGTTGCTTGAAGCGGCTTCGATTATTTCACTGTTCAGTATTCACTGCTGTCGTACGTTGACGGATTTACCGACTGCGCCGGTAGAATTTGTTTTATTTTCTTGGTCGCCAACTCAGGTCTGCTCAGCATAGTTGCTCGATGCATAATTTCAGACCTCGTCCATGGTCAAAAGCTGCTGCACTTGTTGTATAACTAAATCACTACGACAGCCATTGTTGGGCACTTAAGCCGGGAGTCTGGGAAGCTGAGAGGCTGGAAATCTGGGCACCCGACTTGGGCTGAATACCTACACCGTTTGCAGCCATATCCACGGATGATGCCAATTCGCCAATGAGCTGTTTTCAATTTCTAATTTCATTTCCGAAATACATGGGAGAGCCCGGCACAACAGTCGACCGACTGAACGACCGATCCACGAAATACAAAATACGAAATACGAAATACGGACTACGGATCGGATCGGATCGGATTGGAATGGGTTGGATTGGTTGGGGTTGGAACGGGACAAGTGCCTCACAATGGGGGCCTTTTGTGGGGGCTTAGACAATTGTGTCTAACGGGCGGAAAATGCAAAAATGTTGTGTGAAAAAACGCGAATTTTTCACTTCCGTTTTGTTGTTGCTGTCGATTTTTCGGACGTTGTTTTAGTTAGTGGTTGTTGCTATTGTTTCTATAGCGACGACTACGATCACTTCGAACGCGTTCTATCTAGCCTGATTTTGTTACTGCTATTTCGTTGTTTCCGAACTGTTTTAGCCAGCAACGAACGCGACCGCCTGCATTGTTGTGCCAAAACCGACTGAGCTCGATGAAAAGCCGTAAACGCTGGCTAAGTCGTCGATCGAGATTGAAAGAGCGGTAAGCTCGAGAGGCCAGCTTGAGGGAGATACCTATACTACAGGTAGGGCCAAAATAATAGCTAATGAACTTCGAGGTGGTATTAATTTTTTAGAGATTTTTATGTCGGTACTGTTAATACTTTTTTAATTTTCCCTGTTCCTTACAGGTTACCTAATACAAATTAAATTTTCGAGCTAATGCTGTTTATGAGTATACTTTTCCTAGAAGTACTTAACAACAAATAGCAAACCCCATTAAAAATAAAGCAAAAACATAATAGGAGCCACTATTTTGACCGCACCTGTTAATGTTTGGAATTTGGTGAGCGAGATACTTTAAAGAGAGTGAGAAATCTCCAAAAAGTCTGCGAACTCGGTTGAATTCGGTGCTAGTGAAAACCTTTGGCACATTTCACTTTGAAGTGTTTTAGAGTACTTTGGTAGTAATTCAGGACTTAAGATTTTGTGAGAAATTGTATTAAGATGTTGAAAAATTTGTAAATTTACCTTCATGACTGTGATGATTGCCCTGGCCTCAATATCCTACTATAAAACCTTATAGGTCATTTGCATATAGAATTTATTTTAAAAAACACAAAAAGTACAAATTAAAAAAATACATAATTTTAAAAGATACGCTCTCAAAATAAATTTCTCGGAGTTACACTTTCCAAATATATATAATTTTTATGTTTTTTCTCCTGTACACGTTTACAAAAAAAAGTATAAAGGTTCTTTTTACTGTTTAATAATTTTTTTAAATTTAAAAAGGTTAGGTTAGCCTTTGCGGAGAATTACCTAATAATTCTTCTGGCTCTCCGTATTTTCTATTTAAAAAATTTTAATTTTTGTTTATTATTATTTTAAAATCTGTTTTTTACACTCCCTATAATTCCACATAATTGTTTGCTAAGCAAACAAGTAATTATATTTGTTGTTGGCTGCGGAAATTCATTATTAGATGTAATTTTCGCATTTTGTGGGAGTATTATGAACATTGTAAGGCTGCAAAAAAAACTTTGACTCCTCTTCATTCAAAGCATACATTATATAAATATGAAACTGATGATTTTTTGCGAATAACTTGTTACTTTATTTGATGTCATTTTATTTGTCACATAAATCGTGGAATGCTTCCGCGTCTTTTCATTTTGGGTTCGGCACTCACGCCTAAATTTATTTTGTATACATTTTACTGAAGCCAGATATTTCTGCAACTGCAACGGGTAACTGAAAACTGGCAACTCCAACTGGCACTTACCGGTTATTTGCATTATTCTCCGTGAGTGGCTGTTCCACTTCGGTCTTGGTAACGACGCTGATCGAACGTGTCATGCGGCGGGGTTTCGTACTGCCCTCCTTATAGCCAAGATTCTCCATGGTGACGGCCAGAAGTTGCTGCTGCTATCGTCGCCGGTGTCAATGCTGCTGCTTTCTTGCTTGTTGCAATTAAAACGCGCAAATATGCGCAAAAAACCCGAAGCAAATGCAACTTAGGTTTTTGTCACCGCCGCCTGCAATGGCCAATAAATATGCGAAAAAGTTACTTTCCAATATCACACGCCGGCGGAGAGCGAATTTATAGCCCAATTTCAACGACTGGTTGACTTTTTGATAGCCTGCAACGATAGTTGGATGAGATGTTTATGCACCGAGGTTTCCCAGAGTTATCTATCTAAACAGTCCCGCTGAGCGATGCCAAATAGACTTCAGCTTTTTCGGATCTGCACACCCACAACCCCAATATCTGCACAAATAATAATTTTCGCGTCACTTTTTCTTTGGAGTACTCCTCCAACTGACTGAGTGACTTTCCCCAACTGGCTGGATAGATGGACTCCGGCTAAGATAGCTCTTCGTGCGTTGGATGCGACACTCGCGGCCGCAGTTATCTAAGCGCTTTCCATCTGACGCAGCGATAAGCCCATCACAACCATAAGCATTATCGCCAGACTATATGGGGATTTATCTTAAAATGCTACTGGTTCTGACTGTTCTTTACAATGGGGGTTTTAGAAAAGTATATAATTATACCTTTATTTAGATATATTGTTGTTCCTAACCAGATCAGGGTGTGATCCAAATAATTTTGTTTTTATTTCAACATATTTTATTAATAGTCTTGCATAAATTTAGTATTTAGTATTTAGTATCTTCTAAAAATAGCTTCTGGTCTCTGGGTTATAGAAGATAACAAGTTACGTTTATACCTATGGATTAGCCCCTCCTTAGACACTTCCATGTTCTATTTGATTATTTTTTCTTTATTTTGTTTGTTCGTATTATTTACAATTTATGTCAACGTCAGAATCATTCACTGTGCATGATAATTCCGAGGGCAAGGAGTGAATAATTTGAAAATCTAACAAAATTTGTATAGGGCTTAACATAAGCTGAAGCTTTTTTTTTTTTTTTTTAAACTAAAAAATTTTCACTTAATGTTGGTTTTAGGCTATTTTTAGACAAATCTCATTTATATATTTATTTAATATTTAAGGTGTATACAAATTCCGCTAATCCAAAATTTGTACTATACAAATTCGCAAACATCTGTTTTGGTTAAAAACAAATGTCTAGAGTGCTTATTGGTAATAGTTTTGTATTTCCTCAGCTTTTCCACCCGGTTATGTAATTGCAGGGGAACGACTGCCAGGAATCTAGAGAGTTACGGTGTCACATTAGATTAAATTAGCTAGCCAAGCGTTAAGCTTGTTTAGGTTCCATTACTTTTGGCATCGCATTTCTGTCAACAATTCTCGAGCGATTCTGGGAATCTTTCAAACTTGTTTGCAAAATAAAAACAAAAGCAAAAAAGAAGAGTTTCTGTTTGCCTGGCGACAACGCATGAGAAACTTTCTTTGATTAGGCAAAACAAAATCCGCTGACTGATTAAACAGCTTTGGCGATAAATAAGCTAACGACAAAAAACTTCAGCCAAATTGAGCTGGCTCAAATTATGCGAGCAAATTAATCAAAATCTGTGCGTAGTTTAAAAACCAGTTTTTTAATCATTAGGAATTTGCTGCACAGTAAAAAAATTTGAAATGGTCAAATCAAAAATACGAATTAACAAACATTTTAAAGGTAAAGCAGAGTTATCTTAAAGAAAACTATTTGAAACAGAGAAAATATTTTGTCACAATGTTGTAAAGCTATTACCAAACGATTTTTTTGTCTGTGTAGTGGTTTCGGTTTCAGACTGGAGTCTGCGAGGTCTAAACACGCTAACAAACCAATCAAATATTTGTTTAAAAACGCCCCCGTGTGATTACAAGTTTGTTGCCACTTTTGCCGCATTGTGTGAATTACTGGAAATCGGCTAATCAATTAATACGTTTTTTATACACATTTGCATGTGCAAAAATGTGTTAGTCTTTAAATAGAGCGTTCGGCGAAGCGACGGCGAGCCTTTGTTGATTTCGACGGCCCGGAAGTGCGATTCGCCTTTTTACCCGTTATGACAGTCCGCCGCCGGCCATTTTGGAAAACTGCGCCGCCAGCGAGCCGTGGAAATGGCGATTCCCCAGACGATCTTCGTGGCCGTTCGTTAACTTTCTCGGGTATTTCTTTCGCCGCTCGTTGATTCAATTATAATTGAAATCAATTTGACACTTTTTCTTCATTTTACTCGCGCTTTTGTGGGGGACTTAAGGGGGTTATTATGTGAGCGAACGCATTGGGCTGAGTTAAGTTTTATTTTTGCGTTGCTTTCATAATGCCCTTGAACCTGAAGCCCAAGCCCATCTCCATCCCACACTACGCCGTACAGTCACAGGTTACTAGATCCGATTTAGATTTATTCAAGCCCCTATGCAGTTGCAAATGAATTTGAGCCATAGTGCACGAATTAAAGGATTTTGCAGTCAACAAAGGCTGACCACCGAGTGTAAACAAATCTCAATTGCTATTCATAAGATGCACTCGGTTATAGAGATCGTTTATGTCTCACTTGGTTGATTTTGTGATGGAAATTTGCTCAATTTTACTGATATAAAGAAAATTGTACTCAGGTATTTGGGCTACTATTCCATACTATTGATTTTATCCCATTTATTTTTTAATTTTTAAAAATGTATTTACAAAGTTGTTGCGCTAAAAAACTCAACCAAAGTATGTAGTATATGCTGTTAACAGAACCTGACGTCGATGTTATTTTTGATAAAAAATGTTGTTGACAATCCGTTTATGACAATTTGGTGTGTCTATTTGGTGTGGTAAATCAAACACTCCCAAAGTTTTGCGCAGTTCTTTGACAATGTAAAAGAAAAATATATTTTTAATGACTCAGCATTACAAAGAGTCGTTTCTTAATTATTATCGAATTCTGTAACGCAAGTAATAGAGAATTGACTTAGAAATTTTTTTGTGTTTATACAAAAAAAAGTTATAATCAACTTGTAAAATTATTTCTTGAATAGTTCTGTTTTTATGGGTTTTGGGGAATTTCACTTTACGTTGTCTAGTTTTAATTGCAATCCCAGAGCTCGCGAAGAAAAAACGGGGCCGACATTTTCCCTCAAAAATAATCCTTTATCTTGGGATAGATTTTCAGATAGAATTTTCTTTAGGCGGTGTAAAATTTTCCGACACTTGAGGCGCGCGCTCAACGACGTGGGATCGACTGATAAAAGGAACTGCGCCGAAATGATATCGTTCGCGATATGTGTGTCCAAAACTAAGCCGCGCGAACGAGCGCCAATGAAGTAGATGTACACTTAGTATATATACTATATGCCCCAAGTCCGACACTTTTACACTTGTACAGTTAGTCGGCCGAGCGACATCTTCGGGCTTTTTGTCGTGTCGACTTCGCTCATGTGTCAAACTATAAAACTCATTTAAATCATAATAAAATTTTGCCGCGAATTTTCCTGAAGCGCCGAGATGCCGGTAGGCCTCCTCTCATCGAAGGCATCACCCCCAGATCTTCTGAGAAACCCCAAATCCACCCACACGTTCCCGCTTCGGTGACATGAACAGACAGATTTTTGGATTTGGGGAACCCTGAAGTTGGGGCAACCAGTTTTATTATTTATTTGCCTCGTCACTTTTCTGCAAATCCGTTGCTATTTTTATCGCCGCCAATTAAGCATTTCTGTCGCTCGTCTTTGCCATTCATTCTTTGTGTTGTGTACCTACATTAATTTAAAAATCTTGTCCGTAAGCCTTTTATTATGTTTATTATTGTTGTTACTGTTGCATGAAGTCATCTAGCAATTTGTTTAAACAAATCAAAATCTCTCTCTTTCCCACTTTGTTGTTCAACGGGCAAACTTTCAGTGATCGATGGCAGTTGTCGATGCGGTTTGCCAAAAAAGAGGGTCAAGAACAAAAAAAGTTAAAAATGGCTCTTTCCCTTTTATTGTCGTAGTTTTATTGTTTATTGTTTTTTAATCATAACGTTTATTGTCTGTGCTCCTCCGACCATTCATAGGCGTTACGATTGTCAAGCCCCTTGACTTTGATTCCCACGCAGTCGAAACCGAAAAATGATTGAAACAAAAAAAAATTAATTACGATTTGTTTTGATCTCTGGAATCTGTGAACTTTGTGACTGGCGTCAGAGCTGTGTTCTAAATAAGCTGAATATTTTATTTGTATATATATTGTTTACTTTTTTTGGACTAAAATGGGGATCCTTCCTTATTAAGTGGGATGAGTCAGTATGCAAAAAGTTTCCATACATTAAGCCATGAATGTGGTGTATTTAATGTAAGCTGCCCTACCTCCTCTCGAATTTATGTTGCAAAAATATTTAACTGCGAACATAATTTGCTACCTATTTCATTTTGGTTTTTAGGTAAGTGATCTGACTAATTAAGTGCAATAATTTTATGAAATGCAGTATTTATTTATTAATGGTTAAAGCTTTGGCATAGAAGACCGTAAGAAAAGATTTTTAAAGCAATTAAAGAAATTGTAAATTTAATTAAGTATATTATCTAATGTTTTGTTGTTTGTCTTCTTAACCAATTTACTAAGTAAGTGCAACGGCGTATTACCCAACCTATTAACGGGATAGCGCGTGCTGATCATGCCCGCGGCTTTACAATTATCCGCACTTGATGCAGTGCTATAATGCACTTATAATTTGCATCACACCTAGCCGTGGCTGGCGGAACGAAAATTTCTGCTCCCACCCACTCGATTGACGAGTTCTCTAATTGCCGGGCGGGCATGCAACAATTTGTTGCAGTTTAGTGGCCGCGACCGACAGACATTTAATTTGGCTAACGATTCCGCCATTATCTAGAGGCATTGTTGTACAGGAAGCGCTATCGCAGCATCATTTTGTATACAGAGAGATCCATACAAAGGCTGCCTCGGGCGCTCGAACTTGACATCTAACGGTGGCCACGACATTATCTCATTCTCATTCGCCGTTTCGTTATCTCGATTTTTCCAGTTGCTCTTCCCGCTGCAATTTAGCGAGCTGCTGGGCAAAGTCGATGTGGAGGCTAATGTCGAGGGAGGCGGACCATCCGGTCAGGCTGGAGCCATCCGCTGGGGCATCGCGATGAGTTTGCGCAGCTTTGTCGATCAAGAGATGATTGAGTCAATGCGTCTGGGTAAGTGCCTGAGGCTCCTATGCAGCCGCTTCCATTGGCTTATTGCCGCTAATTGCAATTTATGTTGCAGCCGGCTTGCTGACACGTGACTACCGCCGTCGGGAGCGTAAGAAGTTCGGACAGGAAGGAGCACGCCGCAAGTACACGTGGAAGAAGCGCTAAACGGGCACGTGCATCTACAATACTAGGCTGCATTTTGTATCGCAATGTTTTAATAAATATCAACTATGTTAACGGATGTGTGGGGTTTCTTTGGTCTACATTTGGTCCAGTGGACGAAGGCCGAGAAGCTGCATTCCCTGCTGCAGTGTTTTCTTGGCAGCATGGAAGAGGATCAACCGTTGGGATTGTTTCTGCAGGTCGCATTCTTGCTTAACAGGTAATCGTTTCAGTGCTCGGCTTGTGGAATTGCTGAAAAGTTAAAATAAAATCATTATTTCTTTATTCCTATAAATAAATATTATAGTTTAGTATCAATCTAATAATCAGTGGTGTTACAAAACATGTATGATATGTACAAATAAGTTAATTGTTAGAGAAAGAAATATTTTATAATTCAGACTATAAACAGTGTGATTGATGTAACACCTCTGATTATTAGAGTAAGCGTTGACATATTTTGCTTACCACAATCCAAACAGGTAGTTAACTAGCACACAAGCTTCCAATTGTTCTTTAGATTGCCAAATGGTTTGATCAAAACGTGCTAATTCATAGAGAAGATCTAAAGCTTCTCCTGGCTCTTCGCATAAAAGTTGCCAGTTGGGCTTAATGTTGTCCAAATCAACTTCCTTAAAGTTTTCCAGCAAACTGTGTAGACGGCAGTGTGTGTATTGCAGCTTGATTCCCGTATCACCATTTACTTGGAGCGCCTGTTGCCAGCTGAACTCGTGATCTCTTTGCCGACGCTGCTTCAGCACATTAATCAAAACAGCTGATACGCCCAGGACATCACATACATGCTCATCATCCAGAGAATCGTTTGCTCTGGTGGCTGAATCATAAAAAGTAGGGAATGAGATTTTAAGATTTAAAGCTTTAAGTTATAAAGATAAACATACTTGCACTTATGTTTCGTTTCTCCCGCATGATGTCCCGAGCTTCATTTAGAACATCCTTTAAGAAGATTGTCTTGCCCTGGCGAGTGCTCATCCCATGGATTCGTCCGAATTTAACATGTTGCAGCTGATCCAACCTAAGGCGATCTTCCAAAGCAGTTGCCGTTTTGAAGAGGGCATTAAAATGATCCGCTTGGCCATTGTCCACAACATAAAGCAGGCGGGAGAACTCGAACCTGGAGAACCTTTCTAGCAAAGCCGCGATATCCCTGGCCAGGTACAAAGTGGAACCATCACTCTTGATCACTGGGATGCGTCTCCCATCGACTACGACAACCTCACGACCATCTTGCTCGGGCTGCAGGAGACCCGTCTGCCGCAGCTTGTCGAGAACATCCTGGATTTGCTGTTGGGAGTACTGGGACTCCCATTCGTAGCTGTCAAAGTGAACGCCCAATCGATTGTAGACTTTCGAAAGGTCCTCAACGGTGTACTTTCTATACTGCTGCCATTGATTTGCCATGGTTTCATCTGTTCCCGCTTCTAACGCTGCAAAGAGGTCTCGTGCTCGCTGGGCGATTTCCGGACTTTTCTCAGCTGCTTTGTTGGCGGCCACATAGGACTTGTAGAGCGTTTCTATTGGGGACGCCTGCATATCCTTCTCGCTTACATTCTCTAATTGGACTCCCAGTGCCAGTAGACCGAATTGGGTGCCCCAATCTCCAAGGTAGTTAAGACGGGTTGTGCGATAGCCCAATTGCTGGTGCAGATTGGCCAGCACATTTCCGATGATCGTGGAACGCAAGTGACCTACGTGGAAGGGTTTGGCTATGTTCGGCGAGCTGTACTCCACCACTATGTGATCCGAAAGGGAGGGAGAAGTATGAGGTTTGGTTTGCAGGACTTGCTCCACAAAAGCCTGTGGCCGTAGCTGGAACTCGATCTTGGCAGCATTGCGTCCGACGCTGGGGACAACTCGTACGTTCTCCACATAGATTTCATCGAATCTGTGCTCCCTTAGCACCTCTAAAACTTCCCGCTCCTGTTGCGCAACCGCAGATGGGAGAATCCATTCCAGAGTTGGTCGACGTCCGTTCTGGAGCTGCTGTTTCTTGGCGGGAATCTCCAGAGCATTGCACACGTTCTTGAGCTGTGGCAGCTGCATGATGAAAGCGTTGGTAACTAGGGTAATGTTTTATCCACTTAATATTCACCTGATCACAAATTGCGCGCCGTATGCGAATCATTGAGGTAAACAAACAACTGTGTGACCGTTTATCAACCGCCGGAAAATACCTCTGAAAGTTCAATAAATATACCAAAGAACGGTGACGGTAAGAAGGGTGCATTTGCTAGGTGTTTCTAAATTGTACCGCATAAGGGTTAAAAAACATACTCTTTTGCTGTTTCTTTCGCACTCACTAGAAAAACCGTCACTACAGGCATATTATCATAAAGCAGTCTCGTCCGGTGCAAAATCGTTCGGGTCTAGTCCATTATTTTTCGCTTGCCTCTCTCGGGTTCTCTTAGAGAATTTAACCGTTTCGGAAAACATTGTAAAACCGATTGTGAACCGATTGGAAAGTTTGAATAATAATGTATTATAATTATTCTCTGCTCAGTTCCAAAACCAATCTTATAAAAATGAGATTTAAAAAATCGAAGTTATTTTTCATCAAGTATATACAATAGTTACTGTGTTGGAGGTTAATAACTATTGATTTTAAATAAATAAAACTTAAGGCACCAGAATGCTTTTTGACCTCAAATCTCGAAAAAAAAGTGGTGTCCCAGAAGGATAAGTCGTTCTCAGAAGAGGACTTCAATCTGTGCTTTTTAAACTGAAAGATTGTGTGCGGACGATTTTTTTAAATTAACCCTTGAGTCCAAATGAAATACTTGTTGCAGGTATTGCAGGAAGCACACGCATGCCGTAATATGACCGGCGATTTTAAGCCCCATGCACCGCATAAGCGTTAAACCGCAAACTCTATTGCTGTTTCTTTTGCACTTAACAGAAAAAACCCTCATAGTTAACGGATTGACGGACCCGACAAGACTCTATTGACCTTATACTTATATTACCATGGCTGGAACCTTTCAGCACAGGTTCAGTCGTGTTCGTGACATCGTCGAGTGAAATCGGAAGAGCTGGAGCAGAGTTATATACATAGATGTATAAGCAGCAGTAGCAGCAGCGGCAGAGCAGAAAGCAAATCGGTTTAATCCCAAAAAGTGTGTTTTTCTGTGCACCTGAAGTTTCTTGGCTTTATAGTTTTACCAACGATTCGCTTCAGTAACCACGACCGCAGAAAAAACGGCGAAAAGGAATGCAAAATTGCAGCCAGCAATAAGCGGCTAAAAAGTATTGCATACCACAAGGCTGTCATGAAAAATAGATATCGATTTGCCAAGGGCATAAAAATAAGAATCTCAACGCGGCTCTCGCACAAGTTGCCTTATTTTTAATGTCCAATAAAATTGTTTGCCCGATATAACGGAGGTATTATTGGCTAATTACGCTGACATTCAGGAGCCATAAAAATTTCCGCTGTGTGTATGTGTGTGTGCATGAGATCATCGCCGGAACTCGGCGCCTGCTGGTATGCAATACTTTTTCTCACGCCTCGATTTCTCCCCGCAGCGGAAGTCTAATCCAATTTGGCCTATGACAATACAAACGCACTTTCTTCGCTACGCATTATCCAGGTGCGTGTGCGTATAGAGAGTGAGCGAGATAGAGAGAGAGAGAGAGAAGACGAGCGAACGAGCGTGAGGTGAAATATTTAAATTTAAAGGCCAGTCGCGTGTGTGTGTGACCCATGAAAAGTTGTTAAAAATAAGCAACTCTAATCGCCGAAAATCGAGAATTGATAAACCCGAACGAGCGCGAGTTTAATTTGTATTTCTGGCACTTTGGTTTGGCAAACAGCAAAAGCATTTCCCTATGATTGGTTCATTCTGGAATCTGTGCAGAGCGTGCCCATCAATGCCGGTAGACAAGGTGAGTAATGTGGAAAACACCTTCAATAATATGTCCTTTTACTTTTGTTACGTTAAAAGGCAAGAAAATGAAAAAATTTCAAAAGAAATGCAAATGTGTTTCGATGGTATAATGGCATAATGTGCAGATATCCTCAAGCAACTTGCAGGCTGTTTTCGGTGATTTCGCTCCTTTAGCCTCTTAGCCCAGTTTGCAGACAGCGAAAATTTAGTTTATAGCGTCCAAATGGCTTGATTTATGTACGACAGTTGTGTTTGAATCCGCTTGTGGATATGAGTCAGTGTGAGTGTTGTGTGTAGGACACATAATAGATTTTTATTGCATACTTGCAGGCGACAAGTGAAAGGGGCTGCAGCGACTCCAAAATGGGGTGACTTGTCATGAGTTATGAGTCGCCCGAAAGAATTGTGGGATTAGGGTGCATTTATTATATTGGGAGATTTCATACATTCCATTTGTGGTATTAAATTCAGGGGTTAAATCGGACTCAAGGGAACAAAGCTGAAATTCTGCATGACAAACGAGGTGAATGATTCCCTAAATCATAATTAAAATTTTAATTATTTACACCAAGTGAAAGTGCTCCTTGTACATCTTGGTTATTTTTGAATTCGTGGTATTTGCATATTACTTTGAGGTATATAAATCCAAAAAGTTTTTAGTTAGCCTTGCTAAATTCACCATGGAACTACTGACAACAAGAAAATCAAATCTAACAGTCACAGAAATCTTAATGTTCGTAATTAATTTAACCCCAGACTCCGGCATTCGCTTCTGTCAACCTCCCTCCGTACTCCTTGAGCTCTTCCACTTAACTGATTTCCCCTTGGCCACATTTTCCAACTGGCTTTCATAACGTTGATCCATATCACCTTACGTCTGCAATCCTTGGAGTGCCATCACAAATCGTTTGTCCAGAGGCATGCAATAGTTCTGTACTTCTACTCAGACAATATAAAGCGAATAAAAGTGGAGTCCCAAAGTAAATAACTGAAATTCGCTGGCAGCGAATAAATTAACTTGCATTACGCTCGACACCAAATCGCGTCAGCGTAAAGTAAGTAACAGCAAAAGCCCAAAAAAGAAACATGGAACCGAGGCAAGAAAAACGGGCAAAAAAAGCAGCAAAGGCAGAAGAGGCACAGAAAATCAATAGCATATGGCTTGTGGCTTGTTTGGGCCCACAGCTGTGGCCGGCCGGGGAGCTATATGGCACCTAGCACCCGGATTCGGACCCGGACCCGGACACGGACGAGAGTCGGAATGCCGGAGAAGGACGGCCGGAGAATGCGGAGTGAGCTCGTCCTGGAACTCGCTCTCCAGCCTTCCAGCGCCGCCTTCCATTGGCTGTGCAAAACAGCTGACTCGTCAATTTGCCATGACAATATATACTTGTACAAATAAGATTGTGTATTGTGGGAAAAGTGTGCAATTATGCCATCTTGGCTGAAAAGGCTTTCTTTCTTTTTTAAAACAACATTGTGTGTTTCTCTTAAGTTGTTTTTGTATTTTGTTACTAAAACAACAAACTTGAAAACAAGTTTCCTTAAAAAATCAATATTTTATTTGGGATATTATAAAATATTATTTTGTATACATTTTCCAAACCCAATTAATATGAATAATAAAAAGGTCTGCACGTTTCATTGACAATTCAATTTTATATTCGGCATTATTATATATTTTTTCAGAATATATAATTTATATTATACTTCAAGTTGTTAATAATAACGATTTGTTTCGCAGTTTACTGTAGCTACACCATTCACATTGCGCAAAAATAGTAGTGTAAGACCTTCCTTCATTCCAAGACTTTGCGCATGTGCGCCTCAGAGAGAAATGGAGAGAGTGGGAGAAAGCGAGAGCTAGAGAGACAGAAAATGCGAGGAGAGCACCTTATAGCCGGCTTTTATTCGGAGTTCTTGTTGTTGTTTTTCCACCGCTTGTTCAGCCATATGACGTGCGAGGAAAAATTGTCTTGCGGTATTACATCAGCGCAGGGCAGTGAAACTTTTATGGCGACTCCTCACCCCCGCCTCCACCCACATGGCTCCCCAGAAGAACGTCCAACCATCCAACCATCCAAACACCCAACCACCCACTCAACCACCCAAAAGCAACAACAAGTGCCGGCTAAGTGTCGCCATTCGGTCGACGGTTGCATGCCACACGCTTATCGATTCAGCTCGCATATGGTTACCGCCATGCTTAATTCTTAGTCACTCCCCGGATCGATTCTCTGATTCCTTGCAGTCAGCTGGGCGTCGGCCCATAATGCACCGAAAAAAAAATTATGCAAATAACGTAATAGACCCGAAAACCAACAGTGTCATTCAATAATCGTTACTATGCATACTAAGAAAATATTAAGTTAAGTGTGTAGTGTACTCAATTATTTGGATTTATCCTACCAGCTACATTTACAACTTATAATTAAACAAATAAATTTAACCACGGGATATACTAACAGGCAACCCATGTTGGAAAAAAGGCTTAACAATATTGGACTTAAACTTAGTACAAGATTAAAATTTAAGTTTCAATTAATTTAAGTTTTTTAAATAGGTTTAGGATTTAAGTTTTTTAAATAGGCTTTGCAGGTTTTAAGAAGATAAATACAATTTTTTATTGTGTGAATTCACTAAACTTTGAACGACTCAACCGACTTATCTGCCACTGACACTCGCAGTTATATCCGCACTATTGTATTCCACTGTCTATAACAGTTTTCAACATCTTCCGTTGGATTTCATGAACGGCGAAGCGGCTGCCTTTGTTCCCTATTTTATCTTCTGGATGCAGAATGACAACGCCAAGTTGTATTAGTAAATGGTAGAGTCAAAGGGAATGCTGTATTAGCTAAAAAGTATGTAAAAGGTAAATGAAAGTGCTCTACACAAAAGCTAAACGTACATTTACTTGATTTGTCAGTGCGTCTATAAAAGCTTCGATAACTTGGAAAGTAGGTTTAAGGGCTAAAAAGTTGAGATTAATTATTATAATTCGATGCCAAAGTTTAGTTTTAAATTCTGCCATATTCTCTAATACGATAGATAAATAATAAAGTTAATAATATAAAAAAAGTAATTTTAGTGAAACGTGGTTAAAGGTTTTGAACATTATGAGAAGAAGCTTTACAAATCGCATTATTCCCTTTCTTCTCCTATCAATACATAATGGCAATCGCATTGATTTTTAGACGCTTAGATAATATTGATGCAATGGAATACTTTGAACTTTAAGTGTGCAGCAGGGGAATGGAAATATTCCCAGACAACCCCTGCTTTTTCTCCGGAAAACCCGTCTTATTGCATCTAACGAGGGCAATTTGCACTTTTCAGCCACTTTCTTCCCACAACAATCTCCTCAATTGCCAGAACTGAAAATGGGGGAAACAAAAGGCAAACTCAAGCCACTGGGGGCCAAAAGACCAGAGAATATGAAGTTTTTTGTTTTGTCTTTTCGGCGATTGTTGAAAACCGATGTGCAATCTCCGTGGATTTGGTGGAAAAGCTGTAGTTGGCTAAAAAGTTTTCTAATTACTTGGGGTCAACTGTTCAGAGGCGCTTACTGTGAAATCAAAAATGTAAAAAACTCCCCCGTAAAGGAACTTTTTTCCAACTATACCATGTGTATTTAAAACAGTTCTGAAATGAACTAGCATATACACCAAACTTTAAATAAGCTGACGTGTTAAATGTTTAAAGAAAAAGTAGATGGAGTAGCACATGTCGCACGAGAGATTTTCCTGTTTTCCGCTTTTCCAGAGTTTGTTGTTTTAACATTCGTATTTTCTGGCCGTCAGTCATTTTGGTATTTGCATATTTTTAGCACAAATCAGTGAATTGCATGCACAGCGCACAAAAAATTTTTACATTTCTGGGAAGTTTTTATTTGCGCGATGTGGTTTTTAGTTGTTGTTCAAGTTGGGGAAATTTTTTTTTTGGTGTTTTAATAATTGCAATTGGTTTGGAATTTGGGTTGTTAATTGTGGTTTCATCGATCAAATTTTTGATGGAAGAGAAACAAAAAACATATAGAAATTCACTTTTTCTGACCTGCATTTTAAGCAACCTATTTAAGCTTCAGAAAAGAACACTGCATTCGAGTTTTTCTATTTTGCAAAACTTACATTTATTAAGAAAAATATTTAAAAACCATATTCTTATTTTTAAAAAGGCAACCGAATTTTTCGGGTTCGAACATGATTGAAACGATCCGGGCCGCATATTGACATCTTCCATGGGGATAGGGAAACACGTTAATTAAAATTGTTTAGATTAATCGTTGTAGTCCCGTGATAGATGAACATGGTTATTACTTCAGAAGTGTCGAATATTAAAATTACTAATTATTAAACAAACAAATAAATAAAGTTCATAGTTAGTATATAGTTAGTTTCGTTTAAATTGTCCTACCAACTGGTGTATAGCCTTGATTGTTTGTTTTTTATGTATCGGTACTTTTGGCGTGTTAATCAGCAAAAACTTTTCGTATTGATTTTCCTATTCGACAGCCATTAAAAACAGCACACGAATGTCGAACGAGCACGAAATGTCTATCAAGTCGTGCTCATCAATGTCAGGCGATTAGAACTTGCAGGGAACCCAACTTTTTCCATCAAAAGCAAATGCTTATAATGTCCGGTAAAACAGTTGATAAACAACAGCTACAGGGACGTCGATTAAATGGCAATTATAAGCCATTTGCTGATGATTTCCGTCACATCTCATTTAACGACGGAAGGAACCGAAAAACGACGAGAAGAAGCGGAATTTAATTAGCACTTATTAATTTGCGAAAAAGCAGCGTTAACCGAATGAGTTGGTCCAAACGGCAACGCCCCATCCTTGGCACATTACGTCAACTTTGGCTACAGTATTTCCACCTTTTAGTCCTTCAGTTTGTCAGTCCTTCCGCCCATCCAACCGTCCATCCGTCAGCATCCTGAGAGAGCAAGAGCCATCGTGCCATCACATCGCCTAACGTATTTCAATTTC